TTAAGAGCTGTTTCTCTCCTCCACGACTGTGGAACAAACTCCATGCTTTAAATTCGTCAGCTTCGCTCTTACAGTTTTTAGAATTAAAAAAAAGCTTTCCTAAATTTTGAGAAACTGCTCTGCCTTTCAGACCGACCTCTGCTTTAGCTCTGCAGGACCCTACTCAGGATCTGGGAGCCCGGAGACGGACTCTGGCCCTCCGCTGCCTCGCCGTCCCCTGTGGGAGGAGGACACGGGAAACGGCTCGCTGTCCAATGCTGGGTGGGAAGCGGCTCCGTCCAGGGCCAGCGGGAGCCGTCGCGAGAGGCCGCAATGACAGCCCGCCGGTGGGCAACACATGCTGAGCTTGTTCCGTGCAGCAGGGGGTGGTGACTTCGTGGGTGGCGCATCAGCCAGCGAGGGCGTGGCGTGGCGGGCACTGCCCAGGTGAGCTTCTGTGTCGGCCCCCTGCCCTCCACAGCCCGGCGGGTAGTACTGCTGTTACTCCCCCTCCCGTGGCCCAGGAGCCAGGAGGCACAGAGCCTGGGACTGCAGCCGGCCTGGACCGTGGTGGACCCGGCTGCTGGCCGGGCTGCACCTGTGGCTGGTCAGGGGTGGGCAGTCCCAGCACCTCATTGCGGGAGGCAGATCCCTCCCCCTTGTAACAGCCGGGATTTGATTTTCTTCTGTCGCGGGGGTTTGATCATTTCGTAAAAGGTGGTTCTTTCCCTATTTAGGAAGACACATCCCTTATTGTTGGCTTGTTTCTAAACATATTTATTACCTCGCTAGCGTAGGTGCATCTCTGAAGGGGAAAAAGAGAACCTCCCAGTTTGGGCTGCTGGCGCTCTCCACAGTTCAGTGTCTGTGTCAGGTCGGTGACGTGCAGCACAGAGGTGTGTAGTTTGCAAAACGCGTTTATCAAACATACCCGAAAGTGGGGAGGTTGGTGCCGTGAACTTCCATGTGCCCAGCCCTCAGCTTTAGCTGGTTTCACCTCAGGCCAATCTTTGCTTCATCTGTACCAGGATTTCTTAAACTTAGTACTGCTGACATTTTGGACCAGGAAATTCTTTTCTGTGGGGGGGTCATGTGCCTTTTATGATGTTTTACAGCATTCCTGGCCTCTACCCACTGGATGCCAATAGCACTCTCTCCCCTGCATTTCTTGTTATAACAGCCAAAAATGTCCCCTGCGGGGCAAGTCATCCCCAATTAAAACCTTTCATTTATTCTTATTCCACCCTCTCCATCCCTTGAAGATTATTTGGAAGCAGATCCCATACATCAAATCCAATCCATTTCTGGACAGTAACACCTCCAATTTTGTTGGCCTTCTAGAGAGAAAAAGAGCAAAGATCTAATTCTGTTCCTTTGTGACGTGTCATGACAGGGGGCCACTCTTGGCCAGAGATGGACATAGTTCCAACCAGCTACTAGTGCTGGAATGGGGTAGCAAACACTAAGAAATTGGTATCATCCCCATCTGTACTTTTTCAACGAAATTGTGGTCAAATATACATAATGTAAAATTTTCCATTTTAACCATTTCTTAGTGGTTCATTCAGTTCGTTGGCCTTCAGTACATTCACACCGTTAAGCAACCATCACCACCATCCATCACCAGAACACTTCATCTTGCAAAACTAAAACTCTCTACCCATTAAATAATAAACACTTTCCTCTATCCCCAGCTCCTAGGATGTCATGTAAGTGGCACCAGGCAATATTTGTCCTTGTGTGACTGGCTTGTTTCACTTAGCATAATATCCTCAAGATCCATCCATGTGTAGCATGTGTCAGAATTTCCCCCATTTTAAGGCTGAGTAGTATTCCACCGTATGGATGTACCACATTTTCTTTATCCATTCACTCGTTGATGAATAGTTAAGCGGCTTCCACCTTTTGGCTCTCGTGCACAATGTTCCTCAAGACCCTGCTTTCAGTTCTTTAGGGTAAACAACCAGAAGTAGAATTGCTGGATCCTATGTAATTATAGTTTTTTCTGAGGAACTTCCATACTGTTTCCCTCAGTGGCTGCACCATTTTACACTCTCATCAGTAGTGCCCAGGCTTCCAGTTTCTCCACATCCTTGCCAGCACTAATTATTTTGTTTTTAAAATAATAGCCATTGTCATGGGTGTGAAGTGGTGTCTAATTGTGGTTCAGCCGATACCTTTTAAGGTCATCTGGTAATTGGAAAGCAACTCTGCTCGAACCAAGTGGTGTGCTGTGTGTTTCCACTTTGGCCTCGGAACAGCTCGCATGGAACATTCAGATCACCATCCATGACTCACTCCTGGGAAGAGGGTGGAGAGTGGGTTGTGTCTTTGTGCAGGGGGAGTTTCTGACCCATAAAGAAGTTTTGCATTTAGGCATTTACCATTAACCATTAAGGGAAAGGATACAGGTTAGATACAGAATCAGAGGTCATAGGAGCTGGAAGAGGAGACATTAGAAATCAGTTTTCCCAAAGCATACATTTTGCAAAAAAATAGGATACCTAGGGCATATGTCTTTTCTTTTTGACATAAGGGCAGTGACAAGGTCCTTCTTATTGTCCCCAGTATCTGGCATATAGAGGCAACCAGTAAATATCTGTGGAATTCGTCAGTGAGTTACCCAAGGCTGCCCAGAACCAGGCCATGCAGGTGGCGCCGCAGCACATTATGGTGACTGAGACGTGGCAGATCGCTTCAGTGACCCTGTGAGTCTTCCTGGCCTCTTTTGCAGTCACTGGGTGACAAGGTCAGGTGTCGTGGCCCACGGTGGGGCTCCTTCTCCCTTAGCAGTAGGCTTGAGGGGTCCTGAAGGAGACAGACCCAGCTCAGGTGACCGTCAGGAAGCTATGGCGGCCTGCTGACCTGGTGACGGCCCCCAAGCCTCGGTGCCTGCGGTCTCCCACTGCATCTCTGCCCCAGCCCTTTCACCGCCCAGTCCCCGCTGGCCTTTATTCTGCTTTCCCTGTTTGGGAAAGGCCCAGGTCTTTGCAGAGGCCTCCCTCGGCCCTCTTCCCACTTCTGCACCAGCAGGCCTCTGTCTTGCCTGCATGTGAGAATCACCTGAATGCTTTGGGAAATTCTGATGCCAGGCCAGTGAAATCAGATCCTGGCTAGGATCCAGGCAGCAATACTTTAATGTCCTCAACCCTCTGCAGTTTTTACCTATTTGAACAGTTTTTCCCCAGTTGTCTGCCTGAGTCTCATCCCTCCATAACCGTGAAACTTGTCCACTTTGGATCGAAGGGAACATAATGTAAGACTAGAATAATAAATGGAGCAGGTTCGTCCAGTGTTCACGTCACTTTACCATGACTCGCACGCCACCTGTACCCCTTTCCCGTGTGGAGTGCAGACTCCCCCAGCTGGAACCATGCTTTCCTGCTCCTCAGTCCCAGGGGTTCTCAGACTGGAGCGTGCATCACCAGCACATGTAGGGCCTGTGAAATGCTGATTGCTGGGCCCGCCCTGGGAATGTCTGGCTTTGTGGGTCTGAGGGGGGTCCAGAGAATTTGCATTTCTAACAGGTTGAAGACCGCTGCTCTGTCCTCTGGGTCATGCTCACGTGCAGGGATGCTCAATAATTACTGGCCAGCCACACAGAATGGAGCCGATTGCCCCTTGGTTGCTTTTCTGAGTAGCTGTGCTCGCTGTGGCTGTGGGCTGGTCCCTGGGCTGGGAACGTGTGATTGATTATCTACAGATGATCATAACTTTGACTTTTCAGTTGTTAATTCCTTTACATTCTGAATATTGCTAAGATGGTTATTTTTCTGTGTGTATGTCTGTGTGTATGCCTGTGTATGTATATGTGTGTTTGTGTGTGCGGGGGTTGTGCATGTCGGCTACATGAAAAGATTTGACCACATCAGGCAGGATGGGATGTCAGGTCCCCTGCTGTCTTACAGGGTGGGAAGTAAGAGTGCATAGTTTTTTCAGGAGTAAGTTTCTGGCAAGATTAGTCAGGAAGGATCTCCAAATAGAGGGGAAACTTAGCACAATCAATTTTTAAAAACAAAACAAGAAATTCTCTGAAAGTTATTTTCTATGAATTATCAAGGGTTCAGAGTGTTCTTGTTTTTTATTGGGAAACCAGATGAGCTTGTGCGGAGCTGATGTCTGCTGCCTCCAGCCCTGCCTCTGAGCACAGCCCTCAGGAATGTCATGAACAGCTAGTGTTTTGTAGTGTGAAAAACTGCGAGGCTGAAGTTGAGGGTAGAATAGATTGAATAGATAGCAAATCAGTGTTTGTTCCAAATAGTCTGTCGAGTTTAAACTGCTTTCCCAGCTTTGATTAATGGTTAAACCATTTAATGTATTTTGGTTTTGTGTCAAATCAGCTGATCTCATCTATGGGTATCAGGGGATTGTTTTATATTTTTCTTTTAGGTGAAATACTTTCTGAGCGATGGATAACTGAGATTTTTCTAAGGAAATTTGGTGCCCATATTGCACAATTGGACAGCGTTGGCCACGGAGGCTTAAAAGCAGGGTTATTTCTTTTTTGGGGGGGGTGGGTCCTTAGTGTCACACTCTGAATTTGAGCAACACTCTTGCTTAATTGGTGTTAATTTAAAATAAGAAGATGTGAGTCAGAAAACAGCTGATGATTCCTTTGGAGAAGCACTTGAGTTCTTAGATATCAACTGAGGGAGGCCTCATTGATTTGATTCATTTGCATGTCCAAAAGCACCTTCTTTATCTCAGCATAGAGCTGGGGCTTTGGGGAGGATGGGGAGAGGGACTTAGCAAACTGACCCCCTAGTCAGCTACACCCCTTGTGCGGACAAGACCCCTGCTCGAGGGTGGGAAATCAAACTTGGCTCTTCTTCAAGGATTAGAAAAAACAGGCTCCTCCCTTACACCAGACGAGGGGTTGGTTATCTTTTAAGTTGCTTGCAACTCCTCCCAGTGGACGCTCCGCTGCGGAAGGAAATCTGGGTTGATGTGGGAAGGGGGCAAAGGCCGGGAAGACTGGCTGGCAGGCCGCCAGTAGGGGTCCGGCTCTCCGTCCCGTGCAGGTGAACTTCGTGGCGTGCCAGCTCTCGGCCCTGTGCGCTGCTCTCTGGTTTCGCACCTACCTGTGTCCCGGGAAGACCAGTCCCGATGTCAGGCACGCCTTTGCCATCGTTTTCGGCATCTATTTCATCATCTTCTGTTTTGGCTGGTGAGTATGAGCCGCAGAAATCCTCATGGCTGCTTTTGGGTGTTTTGGGACTGTGTTTTTGGCATTTCTGAGGTGCTAAGGAAGAAAATGTATGGTATTTACTCTTTGTAAATTGTAAAATAATGATGTCACCAGAATCTCCATTTACTGTAGGAACCTAGAACCAATAACCTACCTGTTAGGTGAACTCGGTGATTTTTCTTAAAATTAGACTGTATGCATCTCAGCCTGGTCATGAACCGGGCATTACAGGGCCGCTGTCTGCGGAGGAACCTCCCCTACTGCGTAGATATTGGGGCTGCACTTGCCTTGCTGCTAGAGATGCTCGTATAGTCTAAGGGAATGTGAGTCATTCCTTCACAGGAGAGCCTGTCGTTTAGACTTTTTCACACTAGGTAACCGGGGCAGTTACCCTGGGAGTGGCCCTGACTGGGGAAGAAGTCTCAGGAACCGGTATTTCTAGTAGTACCACTGAAGGAAATTTGTGAATGGTTCAGGGCACCAGGGCACTGTTCCTTCTTCAACAAGAATTTGAGGAAGGGTGAGTATTTGTATCCACCACCAGGGGGAAGTCTTGGAATCGAGGGAAGCTCAGTTTTGGTCCTGGAACTTAAAAATTAAAAACCAAAACGTCCCAAAGAAAGAACTCTGTTCCAGACTCCCAACTGTGCATGTGAAAAAAAGTGTAAACATCCCATATATGGATACCTGACCTCGTTAGTGCTGTGTCGTGACTTCCGAGTGTAATTTCCAGATAGAATATCTTAATTGCATGGAACAAAAATACTTGATTCATCTTGTCTTACATAAACATGAGTTAACTGATCACTTGCTTTTTGGCAGGGCTGGGGGTGTGTAGCAATATGGGTGGCCAATATGTACATTGGTATGAAATACATTCAGTGTTCTTCCTTCCTCCAACGATGTCTTAAAGGTACTCGGTACATCTCTTTGTGCTGGTGTTGGTGTGCTACGGAATCATGGTCACCGCGAGCGTATCCAATATCCACAGGTAAGACCCTGGTAAGGTTTGCATGATCTTTGAAATGTATTTCCAGGGTAAAGGGGTTCCTTCCCCATTTGCCTCAAGTGGCACATCCTGAGTTCTCTGGGATATCAGAAGGAGGGATAGGGAGCCCGCAATCTTCAGAGAAAGCTTTATGAAAAGGGTGGGATGCAGGTGGGACCCTCAGGTGGAAGAGGGCAATCGGAATTAGGAGCTCTGTGATAGCCCCAAACTGGGAACAAGCCAAATGGTCACCACAGTGGAATGCGACTCAGCAATCAGGAGGTATGGATGATCGCCACACACAATGGCATGGCTGAATCTCAAAAACGCTGGATGAAGGAAGCCACACAACCTATTCTCGAAAATGCAAACTGATCTATGGTGACAGAAATCAGACTGGAGGTTATGGGGGGGGGGTGCCTGGGGGATGCAGGGAGATGAAAGGTCACAAGGAGGCATTGAGAAACTTGGGGACCGCCAGGTGTGTCCGATATCTTGAATTTGGCTGTGACTTTGCTTTCTGGGTGTGCACATATGCCAAAGCTTTGCACACCTTAAATATGTACAGTAAAACTGTTAAAACAAGAAGAAACTTCCTTACTAGGATATTTTGGTTTCAAAGTCTAGAAGAAATTTAATTCTACCTTGCTGGCTATGTGCTTGGATAATCAATTCAGATATTTGGTTTATCTGTTTTGCATGGTCTCTGTCCGCTGTGGTCTTCGGGAATCCTCAGTGTTAGTTCAGCCTTTCGCCTCTGGAATGTAAGCTCTGTGGAAACAGACTTTCTCTCTTGTTCTCTGTTATGTCCTCAGACCCTAGAACAAAACCTGGCACAAGTAAAGAATCAGCAAATATTTATGGAATGAATGACTGAATATCTTTGAAAAGACATTTACTCTTTTATGACTTCTGATGGCTCCTCTGGAAAAACAGATGACTCGCTTCAGCTTCAGAAAACTCTTTGATTAACAAGAAAACTCTTTTGATTAGTAAGAGTATTAGCATGAGTTTTCCTTCTTAAAGGCATTGCAGTTTAGGCATTCATGGTCATGTATAATCTTGTAATTACTTAAAACAAATTTCTGGTTTTCAAGGGAGTATTTTTACATGCTTTTAAATTTTATAGTCATTCAACTTTTGAGGTCTGAAAATTTAAATTCTAATGATTCATCATCCAAAAGGGATAGTGTCATTCCTTCCAAAGGAAAAGAAATCCATATTTTCAACTTGATAAGAATGGGTTTTGGAAATGCTTCATATTATGACAAAATGCTTTTTTTAGCTAGGGCAGGTGGGAGGGCTGAAAATATCTGGCTTTTGCTAACCTTGATGTTGGAGGCAGTTAAATGATTAATAAAGATGTTGCATCTCTATAGCACGTTCCCAACTACTTTACAGGGTGTAGTTGTTGTAATTTGTCAGCTCTTCTCATACTCATGTGATGCTGAGGGGGGTGGGCTCTTTCTCAGAGGGTCAAAAGCTCATGTGCATCTGGGCCAGGCCCAGGCTCACTGTGTCAGCCTCTGGCTGGGAATGGAGTACTCAGGCCAGCAATGGAATCCTCCAGCCTTGGCAGAGCCGAGCAGTTTACAGAAAGGCTGCGACTCTTGCACCACAATAATATCGCGGTAGCTGAGGGTGGTGTCATAAGACCAGAAAGAAAAGATGCCAGAACGTTTTTCCCCTTTTTCTTGGCTTGTGTGCTTGCCAGGCGTACAGAAGTAGGGAGCGGCTCACTGTGACCCGCGGAAGTTGTTCCCTGTTGATGCAGGGAAAGAGCAGCAGTCTGGAGTCAGGAAATACGGCTCCGGCAGTGTGAGTTCCAGCAGGTCACACAGCTTTTCTGTACGTCAGATTTCCTCATCTATAAAAGGTGGGGTTTGTGGTAATTTGGATGGAAGTTCTCTGCTGGACCAGGACTTCCCGATTCTTTGTGAGCTGTTCTCCTCCCTTCACTGGGAGCTTTAGGATGCTGTCGTCTGGCCTGGAGGAGGGGATGGGTAGAGTTAGCTGCCACGCACAGCCAGCCCATTTCCAGACCAACTGTTGTTACTCAGGGTGTGTCTGGAGTTCTTGGGGTACCACCTCTGTCTCTTTCTCAAGACACTGTGTTGGGTGGAAATCACAGCTGTTAATTTATCACATACGCACCAACTGGAGTAAAATGTGGTCTGTCTGTCCAAGGACAGACGGCCTGTGTGAGAACTTGTGTTGCAGTTACCATTTTTGTGGTACCTGCTTTGTGCCAAGTGCTGGCCCAGCTCTTTTAAATATGTGTGTCTCATTATTTTTAATATGTGAACTCTTGTTTCAGATATCATTTGATATCATTATTGCAAATATCTTCTTCCTAGGGAGACTCTATGGGATATAGGTGTTTTTTGTTCTCTCAGATGAGGAGTTAAAGCTCAGAGAGGCCCATAGGGATGTGGTGCATTTTCAGAGAGTGAATAGATGCAGGTAGTCACCGCCAGGTTGGTCAGGATGGGGCATATCACCATCCCTCCCGTGCCAGTCGCTACCACACACCCCCTTCCTGACGCGAGCGCTGTCCCGGCTTCTCACACCGCGGGTTAGTTTTGCCAGTGCTGGGCCTGGAGCCGTGCTGGCCTGTCTTCAGGTGCCTCTCACCATGCCTGTGTTCCTTAGGTTTCCAGGTCTGCCCAGGGCCGAATGCATGGCCCTGCTGTCGGAGCGCAGTGCCCGGAACTGCATTCGGCACGTGGGCCTTCTTGTGATAGTTACAGTGAACTTGCTTCCCAGCCTGGCTTGGGGGGCAGGGAAGCTGTGAGTCCAACTGCCATTGAGCAGAGAGAGGAAGCAGCAGGCATGGCTGCATTTGAAAAGGCCCTTGAAAAGAACCTGCCTCTTGAATCTGCTTTGCACGCTTCTGCCTTGACCCTGGTGAACAGGTGGAGTGTGGGAGCAGGTGCTGGAAGCAGAAAGGTCTGACTCCCTGCGCCTTCTGCGTCAGCTCCTAAGGGAGTGGTTTTTTCTCAGCCATTTGCTTCATGCACTGTCTTCCTGGTTTGGTAAGGGTTAAGGATGAACCCACAGCAGGAGAAATCTTTTTTGTGTAGTAATATCTGCAAATAATGGTAAAGGGAACATAAAGTTATATGGTATCTTAGAATCACAGAACTCCTTTGCCTTCATTGTCTAGCTCTCCCTTGCTACCAAATGAATTTTTATTATCCCTACTTTACTAATGCCTTAGGTTGATCTAGTCTTCATGACTTATTTTAATGTGAATTTGTGAATTCCAATGTAATTTAGTATCAGCATATACATCTTCCTCGTTTTATGACACGTTTAAAAGTTATATCTTCGGAATTTATGTCTGTTTCTGATTGCCTCCTGAACCACTTAAGTCGTTTAATGTACTCATTTCAGTGCATTTCAGCCCACAGTCAGTGAACCCTTCCAGTGGTCAAGGGTTGAAATGCTCAGGTCACAGTGAGTCGGGGAAACAGATGCGTACGTACGTTATGTGTGTTAGCAGGTAGCGCTTGATAAACGGAGGCCTGGGAGCAATGAGTATCCTGGGAGTGGGGATGGATGGAAGGAGAGCAGGTGACCGGGGGGCTGAGCCTGCCTGATAATCAGGCAGTTTCCAGATAGACTATAGGATGGAGAGAGGAGCTGCAGGCGGCGGGGAGCAGGCGGAGAGCTACCTGGCCTGGAGACGCAGGATGTGGTTGGGGAAGGCGAGCAGAGACCACGGTGGCCAGAACGTGAGGTGGACATGGAGCGTGGCTGGAGGTGGGTCCAGAAGGGGAACGCAGAGGCCAGCGTGTAAAGCACCCTGCCTGCCGTGTTCAGTTTCAGTGTGACTGCACGGCGGGACCCACTGGAGACAGAATTCTAAGACAAGTAGCGTTCCTGCGGCTGTTGGCTCGTCATGAAGTAGGTGGCCGGCTGAGTGAAGCGCGCAGGGTCGTCCTTGTCTCGTGGGGCTTTCAGTCTGGGGAGGGAGGCAGCAGTGAATGGGATCATCACGTAGGTCTGCGCGTACAGACTGAGGGATGTGAATGGCACGCGTGCTTGTGCATTGCACTTGTGTGCATGCTGCTGCCCTATGCTCTGGGGTGCCCAGGGCCGGTCTCCTAGCGGAGCGGAGTGGCGGTGAGCAGGTGGCGTGGGCGCTGAGCCAGGAGTGGGAATGTGGACGCCGCGGGGGGCGGAGGATGAGCGGAGCCCAAGGCTCGGATGAATTAACCGCACGAGTGGGAAGAAGGCAAGGAGAACGGGAGCCCAGAGAAGGGCGCCTCGGAGGGGAGCTGGCGGGAGTTCGGGAGGGTGACGTTGTGTCGTGGTGACCACTGCGTGGACGTGCCGGTTTGCGGAGGAGAATTGGGGCGCCAGCCTCGCGTCCCAGCTCGGCTGCGCTCTGGGTGGGCCCCCCGGGGGTGCCCGTGCCGGGGGCTCTGACTGTGCGGGGCGGGGCCCAGGCGCCTGGAGCGTGAGAGCCTCCTGGGCGCTGCCCCGAGGACTCGGCCGTCGGGGGCCCGGAGGGGAGAGAGGAGCCGCCCGCAGCGGGCACGGGGGGTGGGGGCGAGCGGGGGTGGGGAGCCCGTGCGGCCGATGCGGGGGCGCGGGCGGGAGGCGGGGAGTCGGCTGCGCGCCGCGCCGCCGCGCCGTCTGATCCTCCGCTTTGGGTTTCAGGTACTCCTTTTGCGTATCGATGGGCTACCTTACGCTGTGCCACGTCAGCCGAATATACATCTTCCACTATGGAATCCTCACGACAGACTTTTCTGGGTGAGTATTCGGGGCGGGGCTTGGCCGCCCACCGGGACGCAGTCGCTCGGGGCCTGCTGTGCGTGCGCCCGAGATTCCCCAGGGGCGGGTTCAGCCCGTCGGTGCGTTTCTGTGCTGATGAGGTGGAGGCTGAAGACCGGACGGCCTGGGACAGTGAGCTCCGCTGTGCGGGAGGCAGGGGTCGCAGCGTCCCGCCGCCAGGGTGTATGGGGTCACGGGGACAGGCCGGGCACTTCACTCGTTTATGCCTCTGGCTGTGGCACCACCACGTGGAGAAGTAGTGCCGTGAACCATGTGACCCCAAAGCCTAAAACAGTGACTCTCTTGCTCAGAAAGCCTGCCGGCTCATTCCTTAGTCCCTTAACATGGCGTTGGTTTTTATCTCTTACTAGTTAATCATGCAGAAGCTCTCCATACTAGCCAATCAGTAGCCGCCCCCTGATCCCCTCAGGGCACCCTGGCTGCCCCGCCAGCAGCCCCAGGTGCGCCAGACTTCTAGAGACTTCCAGCACAGCAGGGGGCTCAGTACTAGTGGTACAGCTTTTGTCTGTTCCCAGGGCCTTAACCCGGTGGCCACCCCCTCCCGACGGGTCGCCCGGTGGAGGCTGTGGATGGATCAGTAAAAATTCTGTGCCCTGTTGATGTTCATTCAGGAACAGTTCATGAGCCTTCGGAAATGAATGCTAAAGCCGAGTTCCTCACAGCACTTTGCGCGGGATCCGTGTAGCTTCCATAGCGGTCGGGCTGTGCTCTCGTTGGGCAGCCTGAGGTCAGGGCACGTGAGTCCTCCCGTCGGCTCGAGTTGTGTTCCTTGCGATGAGTTCCTGGCGAGCAGACGTGAGATCCAGGGGTGACAGCTCGTGGCTCACTTCGGGGCACTTGCAATTCGTGCCACTGAGCTGCCCACCGAGAGGCTGAGGCAGGAGGAGGGTTGCCTTGGGGCACGGGGACTGTCACGTGGGCGTTCCTGCGACCCGGCCGGGGCCCAGGCTGGCTTCTCACACATCATGTCTTTCCACATCCTGGCCTCTGGGATTTTGCACGTCCTCTGAGTCTCTCCTTTGGGCATCCCTTTCCCCCCAGACTGTGCAGCATGTTTTCAATTTTTTGGAAACAATTTGCTCATGTGTATTGCTAGCAAAGTACGGAAAGTAGGGGAGCAACAAAGATATGTGATCCTAACTCTCTTTAGTGTTTAATCAGCAAACTCCATGTTTTTGGTTTTACCCTCCACCCACACCCCCAGGACTTAGAAGTTCCTGACAGCAGGCGTCCAGTAAATGAATGAGTTAAACACTTCAGTGTCTGTCAGTCCTTTCTCCTGCGTTTCCGGAAGCCTCAGTCACACAGCCCCTCCAGCCCTATTTGGTTGGGATATTTATTGAACAAAAACATGAGCCCAAAGCAGATCAGTACTTGTTTCTCATCTATATGATGTTTCCTTTTTAGGGCTCAAAACCTATTGATTCACTCACCCTTGCGACAGTGTTTGAGTTCCCAGCTTGCTTGGCACAGTGCCCCGTGCCAGAGACATTGTGTGTTGAGTCAGGAGGAAGGGCATTCCAGACAGAGGGAGCAGCCCTGCGAGAGCAGAGTGTGTGAGATGGCACCTATGGAGGGCCCAGAAGGCCACGGGCTTTCCTTGACGCCCACGCCCATCACCAGGCCCTGCCCGCCGCTCTGCATGTGCACTGCCACCACCCCGGGCCACCACCCGCCTGTAGCCTTCCCCTGACCACCCTTCCTTCCAGCCCACCCCTTCTCCAGTCTGTATTCCTCACCAGCCAGGAGGAGGTCCTGAAATATGGAGCCGCTACTGAGCTGGGCCTGCTCTGGGCATCACTGCCACCGCGGTGGCACCAGCCACCTGGCTGGCACCAGTGCTGGGTGCTTCGCGTCCCTGTGTCTGTGCCTCGCTCATCCCCTGCTGCAGGGCCCTTTTCCGCCCTCAATGTGGAAATCTCTTCCATAACTTTCCACAGCTCAGCTCGGAGATCACTTTACAAAGCTTTCAGTGATTGCCACCCTGTTGCCCTCCTCCACGTGTCAGTGTCTGCACTGCGGACCTTGCACCTGCTTCTCTGGCTGGTGCTGCCCATTGCCTGTCTGTCACGCCCACTGAGATCCCACGCACGAGTGTTTGTAGTTGTGGGTACTTATGCACTCATCAGTCGATATGCATGCTTCTCCAGTGTCATGCGTGTTTATTCTCAAACGTGCTTTTTCCAGTTTTTACTTACATATAAATTGATCACACATAGATGTGAGAGAGTGGTTTCTCTGAATCTAGGTTGGAAAAGTATCAAAGCAAGTTTAGTATATTAAAAATAGTAGCTGTTGAATTAAGTGTGGGTAAGCGTGCTGAAGGGATGTGGGGGAGGATTCTAAAAATTAAGTTTGTTTGTAAGCATTCTTTCTTTTACATTCTCAATCCATGTCGGAGGGAATGACTCTGGAGATAGGGGATGGGATCATGTGAGAGAGGTGCCAACATTCAGCAGATGCACACTCCCAGGAAAGGCGTTGGTCCTGCATCAAAAGGATCATTCACCCCTCACCCAGCAGACACTAAGAAGCCTGTGTTTGCCAGGCATGGTTATAGGAGACAGGAGTGGGCACAGACTGCAGAACGCAGTATAGGATGTCCAGATGGGAGCATATGATTGTGTCCTGGGCTGATCCGTGTTCCCCCAAACTAACGTCCACTTAGAATCTCAGAATATGTCCTTATTTGGAAATAGGGTCTCTGCAGACGTAACTAGTTAAGATGAGGGCACACTAGGTTAGGGTGGACCTTGGATTCGTTATGACTGGTATCCACAGAGGAAGGCCATGAGGACAGACGCAGAGGGGAGATGGCCACGTGCAGCTGGCAGCAGAGATAAGTGCAGGACCCCAAGGATGCCATCAGCCCCCAGCAGCTGGGAGGGAGGGCAGACAGATTCTCCCTCACAGCCTCCACCATCTTGGCTTCAGGCTTCTGGCCTCCAGAATCGTGAAACAATGAGTTTCTTGTTTTAATCCACCCTTTGTGCTAATCTGTTACAGCAGCTCTAGGGAGCTAATGTGCATTTTAGGATTGCGTACCTTTAGAGGTGCTAACAGCCGTTCCTGCTCCTGGTCACGCAGGTGAGCAGTGCTTCTACCCTTCACATTCCTCCCCGCTGGGCCATATCGCCTCCTCCAAACTGTAAACTCTTGAACGATTGTTACATCATTTTTAGTATAGTCAGAACGGTGGACAGTTGCTGTAAGGAAAAGATAAAGGGCATTTGTGGAAAACAGCAATGTGTTTGTGAAACGTGGGGTTGGGCTTTGACAGCAGGGGAGGATGGAAATCAGTTCCTGTCGATTTTACTTTGAGCAACGTAGTCATGATACATTTCCTCAAGTGATGTTTGTTCTCTGGCATTTTTTTGATCTCTCTGTATTAAGAAATCTCTGATGTTACACACAAAATGGTAGAATGTTTGAATGAGAAAAGGACACTGCTTTTAGGGAAAGGATACAAAGAAAATGTATCTGCTAACCTGTAAGTCATAGGCAATCTAGATCTATAATTGCTGAGTGACATACTATCCAGTTTGTGGAAGGTGAGTCTTTTTTTAAAAAAATTAGAGATTATTATTGAGCAGCATAATGTGTTTTTGAAAACATGAAATAAGAAGAACCATACATGCTACTGAGAGCATACACTGGTACAACTCTTTAGGAAGGTAATTTAGCCTAAATTTCAAGTAGGAATTAAAAAAAAGAGTCATGTCCTATAATTAGATAAATCCCTAGGAATTGAATCACCTTGATGAAATCAAGTTTGTTCATTAGTGTGTTCAACTGTTGTCAGTAACAGTGAAAACCTGGAAATATCCTAAATGGTCCAAAAGAGGTAATGATTAAATCATGGTACCAATATACATCCGTTGAAAATGATGTTTTCAAAAAATGTTTTAATGACACTGGAAAATGCTTACAATGGAACATTAAAACCACAAAACAAACACACATGAAGATTCCATTTTTAAGACTGTGGACATGTGTAAACAAATGGGAGGAAATACTCAGAATGCTAATGCATTGGTTCTATTGGGAGGAGGTCTATATTGGTGATCTTAATAATTGTTTTATTCTTTAATATGATTATAATGAGAAATCCTAAATGTTATTTGAATATATTTGCATACATATTACCGTGATCTTCAGCCTTCATGAGTAGAACAATAGCCATTTGTGTTCCTTGTTACCACATTGGGGGCTTAATAGAAGCAACACTTGCCTTACCCCCTTGCTGGTGTGGAGGTCATTTGCCCAATGGTTCTGTGGGAAATGTTTTCCTCTGTTGATTTACAACATGCTGGTCGGTCCACATGACCAGCCCAGTATGTGCAAATAATTGGGTTCTGTAATAGGGACCAAGAAGAGGGATACGTGTGGTGGGGTGAGGGAGTGACATCGTTCCTTCCTTTTCCTGTAAGTATATATCTGCCTGTTTCCCCTTATTCTTCTCTCCTTAGATTTCTTTTTCTGAGTTAGACTAACAATCTTAGGCTCGGGAAGAAAAAAGTGGTTTTCTTTTGCTATTATTTTTTTATCGTGAAAAAATATTTGCGGGCCAAAAGAGAAATGGCCCTACCTCAACTATGCTGGACTCAAACCCTGATTTCAGATTGTCCCCATGGATTCAAGTGCAGTGCCTACAGCTGCCCAGGTGCAGGTCCCAGGACAAGGCACGTGTCCCAGGGAACAGACCGTCTGAGGCCTCGCTGCCTGGAGGCAGTTCTTTGGTGCACCCAGGGGCCTTCCTGTGCCTTCAGGATGTGCTTGTATGTTGGGTTTTTCATTTTTGCAGAAAGACAGCATGAAGCCAGTAAACATGTCTTGGATTATTTTTGGTTTTGATTGAAATAGACCGTGAATGGTATTTGAGTTTTATCTTAAGTCAGTAACTCTATGGGTTTGACTCTCAAATCTCAGTAACTTCTGCAAAGTAAATTTGGCATCTGATCTACAAATAAGTTTAAATAAATTAATCAGTGCAAAAATGTTCAGAGAGGACTTCCTCTGAGCAAGGGCATATGGAGCTCCTCCTCACATCCATAGAAAGTAAGTTTGTAGGAAGATTCGAATTCCATTTCCTGGTAGTGAACCCGTTCTAGTTATAGTTTGTGGATTTTGGATCTGCTTTTTCACAAGTTATTAATATATTATTGAGTTTTATAAACCCAGGGTCACATGTGTGAGTTGTTTCTTAAGTTGCAGAAACTTCATCAGATGTTTAAAACAGAAGCAAGATATTGTTGAAAATACAGTCTAGATGATGTGTAACAACATTTTATTCATAGTTTCTTCCCCACCCCCCAAAGGGACATTTTTTTCTAAAGAATGAAGACCCTTTGGTTTTTACATAGACCAAGTGGTGTAGATTTCCTATTGAGTAATTATATATTGACAGTGACCTAGAAATTCAATAGTATGTATTATATTAGTCTAGGTTCTCTGAGCAGCAGATGCCAGCAGGGGGACAGAGAGTAGGAGATTTGTTGGGTGAAATACCTGTGAAGGAAAACAGAGAGGCGACTGGATGAAGCTGAGAGAGCCTTCAGATTTAAGTGCGTGTCTGACCAGAGATGAGAGAGGGATGGAGGGAAGGAAGAGAGGTCTTGGACTGCCTTGCAGTTCCAAGAAGGTGTAGGTGAGTTCAGTGGGAAGTCCGCCAGCAAAAATTCCCAGGAGGAGGAGTACCACGCCTTGAAGGGAGGGGCCTGCTGGCTGTCCCGCGGCCTTGGCTTGTCTGGGAGGAGCTCGAGGGGGTGTGGCCACAGCACGAACTTGGAGGCAGAGTCAGCCGCAGTTGCAGCCAATGAGATGCTCCCCCAGCAGTTCTGAGGCACCTGCTCATGGCTTATGGCATATGTGAGTATTAGACTACTTAACGCTTTGCTGAATGGGAGCTTAATTATGGAATATATTAAAACGAATCCCAGAAAGAGGAAAACTAATGTGATATTTCTACAGGGTCAGAAAAGTAGGCTAATTACATGACCTATTTTCTTTATTAATATGTATTAATATATATATAATAATATAAACTAATATATATATTTCCCTTTAACAACAAAGTTATGAGAATTAAATGGAAGGTAGGAACTTACTTGGTTTGCAAATTGCGTAGTCACCGGAATGTGTGCCTCAAATTTAAAAATTTTGTGCTAGACTTTGTGGAAGGAAGGCTGAAAATTTAGGTCCTGTTACTGATTGCTGGGACTTTCAATCTTGCAGGGGAAAAGAAAAAGACAACAAGGCTTTGGAAAGAAAACTATTGTGCTTTGAAAGTTGTATTTAGAAACTACCTTGAACGTAACGCTTAAGAGTGAGTCCTTTCAAGACCAACAGCTTTTGGCATCATTATTCATTCTGGGTCAGAGGTCTTGATGATTATGAAGAAAGGTGGGCTGCAAAGTTGTATTAGTCTATAAGAACAAGTGGTTTATTTGTATTGATAATTTAAAATATTACATGCTTATTATTTTAGAGATTGGAAGTGGGAATTAGAATGAGAGGAATCAGAGGAAAATGAAGTCATAGAGAAAGGCCTTAGTGCAGTTGTCACACGTCAGACATGGCCTGAAGATGGTTTTTGTCCAACCCCGTCCTCCTACACACTCAGGGCCTGGCCTGAGCTCAGGGCAGAGAGGCTGTGTGGCACCCCAGGGTCACCCCAGGATGCTGTCATAGGATAGTGATCAAAATCTAGCCTCCCGTGTGAATTGGTCCATAGGAGTCAGAGACAGCAAGTTCACTGAGAAGCCACAGGAATGGAGACCAGAAAACCAGGCCAGACTAAGAGTATTTGAAGGAAATTATAGTAGAGCAGTGAGATTTGATTTTTTGTCTTGTTGGACGAGAATAGAGGTATAAAGGTAATAAACTAGGCTAGACAATTGGAAAAAGAGGTGCTATTAAAAAATGCAGCTTTATTGAAAAATAACTCATACATCATTCAGTTCACCCATTTAAGACATACAATTCAGTGGTTTTCAGCGTATTCACAGACTGCATTTATGGAGTTCAACTATCACTGCAATTAATTTTGCAACATTTTCATTACCCCCAAAAGAAACCTGTACACATTAATTATCACTCATTTCCACCCAATTCCCCTAGCCTTAGGCAACCAGCAGTCTACTTCATTTCTCTATGGATTTGCCTATTCTAGACATTTCATAGAAATGGTATCATTTGAATGTGGCCTTTGTGTCTGGCTTCTTTTACTTAGCATGATGTTTTCAAGGTCCATCTATGTTGTAGCGGGTGTCAGCACCTCATTCTTTTAATTGGTGTATAATATTCCATTGCATGGACATACCATATTTTATTTATCCATTCATCAGTTGATGGACATTTGGGATATTTTCTTTGGGCTGCTATGAATAATGTTGCTCTAAACAATGAAGTTTTTATATTTTCTTTAGGTATATTTTTATTTCTCATGGATATATACCTAGGAGTGGAATTGTTTGGTCATATGGTAACTCTATGATTAGAAACTGCCAGATTGTCTCTAAAGCAGGTGCACCATTTAATATCCCCACCAGCAACGTACAAGGGCTCTGATTCTCCACCTCTGGGACAAAGCTTATTATCTTTTTGATTGTATCATCGTAGTGCTTGTGAAGTGGTATCTTGTGGTTTTGATTTGCATTTCTCTGATGGCTGATTCCTGCCAGCATCTTCTCATGTGTTTATTTACCACTTGTGTATCTTTTTTAGACAGATGTTCATTCAGTTCCTTTGGCCATTTTAAAATGAGATTGTTTTTTTTTCAGTGAGTTGTCAGAGTTCTTTATTCTAGTATAAGTCCCTTGTCAGACATGATTTGCAGATATATTCATGCATTCTGTTAAACATCTTCTCACTTCTTGGTGGTGTGTGTCCTCTGAAGCATAAAAATTCTAAGTTTTAATATCTAACCTACTTTTTTCTTTTGTTATATGTGCTTTTGGAGTTATTTCTAAAACTATTTTCAAATCTAGGGTCATGAAGAACACCTGTGTTCTCTTTTAAAAGTTTCAGTTTTAGCTCTTACGTTTAGGTCTTTGATCCTGTTTTAATTCTATTGTATCCTTTTTATGTGGATATCTAGTTGTGAAAAGACTATTCTTGGCTCTGTTGAATTATCTGAGCACCTTTTTGATGTGGGTGCCACTTCTTGGACAAGTTTTTAGGTGATGGCTTTTTGCAAATTAAGATTGGTGTTATTTTTTGCCACTAAATGGTTTATTTACAGGCAACTGCATCATACCAATGTATCTTTTACTATGTGTATGTGGAAAAATCACCTTTAAAGAACACGATGTATTGGCATATATTAGGTTGAAGAAGCCAAAATGGACACATCTCAGGTATCTCTTCCAGGTGGACCCTGGGCCCTGGATTAGGTCTTTTCCAAACTAGTTTTGCTTTCGCTGTAAGTGCCTCTGATTTCCCCGGGGAACTTGTCATGAGTGGACTCTCATTTTCTGGTTCTGGAATGCAGTGGGAGGTTCTGCATTTCCAAGGACCTCCAGAAATGCTGATGTCACTGGCCCTGGGACTGAGGCTTAAGGGGGAGCAAAAGAGGGGCTTTTTAGGGTGACCTCATTGTTCAGTGTTGTTAAACCTACTTATTTAAAGTGACTTGGAAGTGAAATAAAAGTTGTATGTTTTGGTTTCAGTGTTTTTGCATTTTATTTCATAATCTTCAATAGGAAGAACCACCATGCAGAGAAATAGAATAAAGTCTCTTCCAGGCTTGTCTGCCCGTCTTGATTGTTCCCTCTCTCTTTTAGGCCTCTGATGATTGTCACTCAGAAGATCACAACCTTGGCGTTCCAAGTTCACGACGGTGAGAAAAATGACTCCCCTTTTGGTTCTAAGAGTGAACCTGACATTCAGAGCTCTTGTTTTGTACTATATGCCCCATCCAGAGTTTAGACGGGTGCTGGAAGATCTTGCTGTGTCTTGCCAAAATTTTGCAGGCCCTTTAATTATAGTTTTTTACTTTCCCAGGTCCTATTTTCTGAAACATTTACTTGAGCACAGTGGGTTTTCTGTGCTTTTACAATGTTTTAAATTTACGTGAATTTGTGATGCACTCTGCCCTCCATTTCCAAATCTACCAAGAGGAAAACGCACCCTTTTTGCTTTGGTTTAATCTGTGAGCAGTTTACAAGGTGACAAAAGATTAAATAGTATTGGCTGGTTAACTGTTTTTTAATGCTAGTTTTTTTGTTTGTTTGGCTTGGAAAATTATCTATTGAGATCAGGCTGACCCACTGAAAAGCTGGGAGAGGAAGAATCTTTTGTTTGTATAAAACTAAACATTTCCTTCACTCAGGTCCCTGCTGAACATGGCCAGAAAGTGTGATTTATACTGTTAAAACAGCTCCAGGGGGCAGAGGATGGCATTTCCAGACAGGTGGAATATTTCAATATAGGTGTAAGGGATGCCAGGCAAAATTAGTTAGAAGTCTGCTCTTTGGGTTTGCGTGGCCCCAGCAGACGCTTTCTGACTGTTGAAATTTCTTTATGTGTTGAAGATTTATAATCTCTGCCAGCTAGTTTTTTGTTTTTCCTTAAAACCTGGCAAACAATTTAATTTCATTGTGATCCTGTGTAGTCCTAGTTCATACTGGTGATTTAGTCATTTTGTGGAGAACTGGGCACTTTTACACAAAGGATGGAATCCTTCTCAGGACACCAGTTGCCCTGATTTGCTCAGAACTGAGAAGTTTCCTAGGATGTGAGATTTCAGTGCCCAAATCAGGAAAGTACTGAGCACACTGGGGTGAGCTGGTCTCCCTGCTTGTACTGGAAAATCCACTTGGTAATGGTCATAAACCAATAGCTGAAATCAATGTGATTTCTGGGATTGCGGGAGATACACTATTTGATGAGATCTTAGAAAAAAGTGTGATTTTTTAAACACTGCTTCTTGGATGTTTTTTCCTTTAATAGGCTTTTTGCCAAAACTCACTTTCTAAGGCATTCTCAGCTTACCATATTTTCTGGAACCACCCTCACATTCAGCAGAAGTTCATTTGGTATTTTTTTTTTTCTTGTTTGTGGCAGGAACATAAATTTCAGGAACACTCCATCTTCTCCAAGGCCCGTTTGTGAGTTGCCTTTATGATTGGCGACCATAATCAATCTTAGCTGAATATACAAAGTCAGCCTCTATTGCTTATGGCACTTCAATCAGTGACCGTAAGTCAAATATAAATGATAAAGGAGGCATAGATAGGATCTGCTTGGTAGTTTTTCTGGCATGCATGGGTTCTAATAAAAGAGTCTCCTGATAATTCTTTTATGTTTTCCCTGCATTCAGGGTGACATTTCCCATTGTTTGGAAGAGGAAAGTCTCCATTCCTTCCGCTGCTGCATTCCACCCCACACCCTCAGCTTGTACTGGGTGTCTGCACCCACCGTGACCAGGGAGGTGTTCAAGTTGGTGCAGGCTGCAAAGGCAGGCTTGTTTCTCTCATGTGGCAGTGAAAACATGTACAGTGTGGTCGGCAGTATAGGAGATGTGGCAGGTTCTCTGGGGTCCACGTCATACTGTGCGAATTAAATAGCAGTAACCTCTGAATTCTCCCCTTCCTAAGAGCCTATCAACATTCTACCACACATATGGGTAGCTTTTTGACCCAGGGCATTTAAAAAACGGTGGGAAATGGGGGCCTTTATGATTTGTGAAACAGATCACTTTTTTCAAATGAGCTTTATAAGCCTCTTTTAGGATTGTTACCTACTTTACTTCAAACATCTTGTTTCTGATTTTATTCTTTTTCATAGGATTAGGGCGAAGAGAGGAGGACCTCTCTGCTGAGCAACATCGACTTGCTGTGAAGTAAGCTTGACCATATATATTGAAGCCAACCTCTAGAGATAGTCCCCATTTTTTTAATATCTGCTTATTAACTTCATTATGTGGATGTGATGTTGTTTATTTAACAAATCTGCCATTGACAGACCCTGGGGTTGCCTACCAGTCTTTGGCTTTTGCAGACGGTAAGTGATGATACCCTCATCCATAAGTCCGCTTAAATAGGTTTGGGTGTAGTCCTAGAAGTGGACTTTCTATTTCTATTCCAGAATTAGTTTTATTGGCTGAGTGTCTGGGATCCTCAGGAAGCAGCTAATGACTGGCGCCCGTCAGTGTGATGAAATGCGGCATGGGAGGGGCGGAAGTGGGGCTGGAGAGGTGCTAAGGGAAACCGTGTGTGATGAGTAAATGGTTCTTGGGGAAGGTGGTGCCACCACGGCGGAGAGAGCATTTGGGAAGAGGTACAGGAGGGCCCCGAGTGTCAAGGAGATGGATGCTTCACTCCTGCATTAAGGAATTGGGACTTGGAGTCAGTGAATCGGGCTCTGTGCAAAGGGGGTGTGCATGTTGGAGGGCGTGGAACAAGGACCGGTCAGCAGCAGCCTTTGGGGAAGCCTTTCCCCACGGTTCTATGCAGTCAGAGAAGCATGCCCTTCAAATGTCATTAAAACACTGCGCAGAACTGGCCCCTGCGGGATCTCTTCCCATAGCCACCCTGTCTGTTTAGGACCGCCTGCCTGGTTTCCAAGGCAGACAGGAGACTCTCACAGGGGTAGTTTGGTGTGGCCTCTTCCAGTGGAAACTGGTTCCACCCACCATTTGTTTTGTATTTATTTTGGCAGCCGGGAGGGAGTTTCCCCACTGCAGCACATCTGGGTCTGTTTATTACCTTCATTTTCTCTTGCAGCCTGCGGTGTGTGATGAGAAAGCACTTCCCAGCTCAGAGTAGCCTGAGCCCCAGGCCGGCCCTTCTGCCAGCAGACAGGCCCCGAGGGCTGCGTCTCTCAGCTGCGTACCTCATTCAGAGCCTATCAGCACCCTCTCCCTCTCGGGCAGATATTTAAAGAAACAACCAGGAAGGATCATGTCATGTTCAGTCCCCTACAGAGAACACCCCGTGGTTACTGTTTGCTTATTGCAAATATGAAAGAATAAATTAAAAAATGACTTTTCAACATTTTACTTTAATTTCAGAGTCAAACCCTCTTTTTTGGAATACATGAGCTACCTTCTCAACTTCATGAGTGTCATCGCTGGCCCGTGTAACAACTTCAAGGACTATCTGGCCTTCATCGAGGGGAGACAGACACACATGAAGTTGCTCGAAGTGAACCGGAAGCAGAAAGGTTTGCACAGCCTGCCGGCGCCTTCTCCCACTGTAAGTTCTGAGTGCCAAGGATTTACCCAGAGGTCCAGGAGACAGAGCTTTCTGCCAGGGCTGACTCACTAATAATAGTTCCAATTAAAAAGCCAAATGTTTACCAGAAAGCTTGGCCAATAATTCGTTTAGAATACCAGTATTGGTATTTATTTGCAGCAATTCTCTGTGTTGGAGCAACAGATATTTATTTCACAGAGGAGCTCATGGAAATGTTTAGTCAACCAGCCAATACGTAGTGCCTACAATTTGCTTAGCACTGTGCCTGTTAACACATTTGAACTTAAGAGTGTTTTGTCTTTATGAATAGAAATTCATACACAGCTGAAGGATAATATGTCATAAAAGGCGGAGGGGGAGGCAGTAGGGACCAGACTAAATGTGGTTTTTATTGCAGAACCTGCTAATCGCACAGGAAGCCAGTTTTACATTGGCATGCCCGAAGCTTGGTTTCATTGACTTGAAGAGTGTTTATGATGGTATCTTGACATAACATTTTAATTTTAATTGAATTTTATTCATCCCAAATTAGTCAATATTAAGATACCTTACTGAACTTTACAAATAGGCTAAAGTTATTCAGATCAAATACCCTATTTTTAAGAGAAATTTGTAATTAACTGAAAGAATGGGCAAGATAGAAGAGAGACAGGATTCTCTGAGTAAATTTTTCATACATGCTAATTAAAGTCTAGGCAAAATAAATTATTTGAAAACTTAGGTGACTTCTAAATTAAGCATGAATTTTCAGACAGTTTTGACACAGTGGGTCCTCAGCACCTTATGGTTAAGTCCAAGGTCTCAGCTCCAACTGCTTTGTTGGAACAGTCTAGGAGTGGGGCCACTGAGGCTGTGAGATGTCAAAGTGACCCCAGGTGTTGTAGGCAGTGTCTGTCGCAGTTGTGCTTTTACTGAGAAAGTAATATTGTCAGACGGTCTTAACATCACTCTTTAAGGGGACCCTTGCAGTGTTGTGCACAGAAAAAGCAAAGTGTTGACATTGCATTTTGGCTAAAGGCACAGGGACAGAGGGGACGCCTATGAGCTGGAGCCTCCCCAATGGTGTTGTCATGGCCATGGCTGAGAGCGGAGAGCACTTACCTGGGAGCCAGATATGGGTCCCACCTTCACACCTGTGCTCAGTGCCTCATGAATATTCACTCACTTAGATCTGTGCTACTCCCAGAGGGAGGTGCAGCTGCCATTCCCACATTGCAAAGAAAGTAGCCTGTTCAGTGAAGCTTGGCACTGTAACTCTGTGAGGTTACATGACACTCGTTAGAATGTCAGGGAAACTGGCAGAATCACTCTGTCCAGAGACGTTTAAAACAACACATCTCAGCCCCAGCAGACGGCATGTGCACCACTCAGGAGGGCTTCCCAAAGCTCTCCATTACCTGTACGTCTTGGCTGAGCATTCAGTCACCTGCACAGAATCCTTCCTAAATAAGCCTCTCTCCTGCTTGCTGGCGATTCAAACTCATTTTCTTGGATCTGCTCGGTACAGAAGTGGAGGGCAAATGGTTCTTTCTTTCTGATGAAAGAGTGCCACCCTGTAATGGTATCTGTTTCATTTGAGCTGGGTAATACCACCAGCTACCCTTTGTTGGTAGAATTCACTGGTAAAAGTCTTCCAATTTAGATGAGTTTAGTCCTCAAGGTATATTCTGCATCTAAATATAGCACATAAGCCCATTGTGTCATGAATAAGAGAGTTTAAGATGGTCTTCTGAAATAACATTTTATTTTACTCTGAGCTTCATCAGTCAGTACCACGAGTAAGAATGCCCTTTGCCACTCCTCTAGGGAATGTTGCCCAAGCAGCTACTGGAACAGCTTTTTTGTTAACATGGCCTTGCTGAGGCTGTTTTCCCCGTACCGGACTCTTCTGAGTGGTCACGCTGATTTCCCCCTCCCCCCATTTCCAGGGAGCCGTGATATACAAGTTGGGCCTGACCCTCGTGTCTCTGCTTTTGTTTCTGACCGAGTGCTTCTGAAAGGGACAGTGGACGGACCGACTGCTCTGGTTTGTTCATAAAGCAAACTTTTTGACTCGACTCTTCTACTTATATGTTGTCATGCAAGCATCAAAGCCCAAGTATTACTTTGCCTGGACGTTAGGTAGGTCTGGTGGGGGACTCTAAATGAATGAGACAAAATGATGCTCTGTAGGTGGCTTAGTCAAAACAACAATTTGGGTCTCCTAATCAAAAAAACATCTGATACCTGATGGGAGTGCTTGAGCTGGTGTATTTTTTACTTTTTGGTGTAGCTTTCCTCAAACACCATTTATAACATGAGTGATGTGTGGCGCAGGGGAAGCAATCCTGGCTGTCACCGAGGCCCAGTGTCACTAACAGATGTCAGAACTTGGAAGCTTCCTTTCCCAATTCCAATCAAACCTGGCCATTTAGCACAGTGGGAAGTTAGGGAAAAATTCCAGAATGATCTCTCTTTCCTGTAATTTTTCTAGGCTGTACATAATACGGGATACACACTGAATTAATTTTACGAACGTACATGTTAATTGAGGTTACAATTTCTCTTGAAATTGTTGGTTAAGCTTTGTATGTTAGAAAGTCATTGACTTCAAGTGATTGTTTTTTTAAGATGGAAAGTTCAACTTTAATTTAGTTTTATTACACTTTTTCCCCCCCCGTGAGGCAACTTAGTCAATATTAAGCTTTTATCTCCTTCCTTTCAAACATTTTTAGACTGGAAAAGTTTGAAGCTTTGCCAAAAAAGTGAGCAATAAACCCTTCTGTTTACGCACAGGAATGGTAAAGAGTTTTGATAAGGCCCAGCAGCCATACCTGTTTCACATTAGGAACGCTTTCAGGAATAGGCGTTTAACATCTTAGCTACAGGTGACCAGGGACCTGATGTCGGGGAGCCGTGACTTGGTTCATCAGGTCTAATAGGTTGTTAGACTCCGTTCCTAGTGCTCAGCCAGTGTTCCGTGGGGAGGGCACAGCCCTTTGCCGAGCTCCTCCGTTCCCATTTCATATTCCAAGTTTTTACCTACAAATTAAAGTTTCTGGTTATTATACTTTTTTCCATTTGTCATTTGTTTAATGTGGTAAAATATACAGAGCATAACACTGACCACTTTAACCATCTGTAGTGTATAATGTGGCATTAAGTTCACTCGGAACACGGTACAGTCCCCTGCACCGGCTGCCGCCAGAGCTGCTTCCATCCGCCTGAAGTCTGAGCCCAGTAAATGCACTGATAACTCCTGGTTCCTTCCTCTCCCGGCTCCTGCTCCTCATTGTTTTTAAAGGTTGAAATGTTCAGGGATAAGTTCACTTCAACGCAGTATTTATGTAGTGCTTGGCCAGAAAGACCCAATTTAGGGCTTTTTGAAAATTTGCAGTGTGGGAAATCTTGTTTCTGTCACATTCAATTTAATTCAGGGAGTTTTTGTTGAGTACCAGGTTCTGTGCTATGAAGAATTCAAAATAAGTAAGACACCTTTGCTCTCAAGACTGTCGCTCCTGTGGGAGCACAGATGTGCCCACCCACCGGGCAGGGAGGCAGGAGATGGGGAGCGTGGGGGTCCGTGGCAAAGGCTTCGACATCTATCGTATTCCTTTTCCTGCAGCTGCGTCATTTATTTTAAAAGGATAATTTCTTCTTTAGTAGGTAGGCATGAAACCTCCTGTGGCTGGAACTGTGCTTGGAACACCAGGGATATTTTTCTGTGTGAAAGTTAGTATTTCCTCTGCTTTAACCGGAGTGTGTGTGTGTGTGTCAGAGAGCGAGAGTGTGTCACTCCCTTCCGCCTCTTCACTTACCTTCCTTTTCCCCCCTCTCCCTGCCTGTCCTGCTCTCTATTCTGTATCCTAGGGCTTAAGGCCTGGCTTCTGGACTAAATCAGCTCCTGGCTCAGGAGGACAGAAAGGCCATTGCCTGGCCTCATAGGGAAAGCCTAACACGAGGTGGGTTTGCTGGTGGGCTCTGGGTGGGAGGGCGTCACGGGGGCCGGGGGTGCCTGGCGTCACTGTGCCCAGCTCCCGGGAGTCCCCAGCTGTCGGAGCAGAGATGTGACCCTTTCTGTGGATAGCTGCCTCTGCGGACCGAGTTCTCTCCTTTTCTCCCCTCTCCTCCCCTGTCTTTTTTTTTTTTTTTGGGTGACTTCAGTAGAAACACTTGATTAATTTGCATGGCCTCAATTTGAATGTGGTTACAGTTTGGATGGCATGGGCTGGTCTGAAATTAACCTTTGTATTATTTATAATAAAGAAGCAGTGAACAGCATAACAGGGAATATTTAAACTGCTTCACCAAATAATTGATTTATCCAGCTCCTTAAAAGATCATTTACATATAATTGTTGTACTAATTATACATGATTATAAATTTAATCCTTAAAGCTGGCCTCTTGATGAATCTCAGCTGAACTGCACTGTTAGCTTAGTTCTAGTTACTGTTTATATTGAGATAATTAAAGTTATTTTCTTTGGACTTAGTGTACAGTTCTGGTTGTTTTTCCCTACTAATTAGTACTAATTAGTAAGAACCAACTTTAGCCCTGGCTGTGTTCTAAGGATCCCAAACTCCAAAATATGGGTGTCCAAATTAATTTATCTGTCGTATGTATGATACAGCACACAACACAAGTGAAGCCAGTTTGGGACTGGTGAGTTCAGACCCTCTACCTGCTCTGAGGCAAAGCAAGTCTTGGAGAAGCTGTGGACAGCACGGGGGGAGCAGGAAACCCGGCCTCCTCTCGGTGCTCCATCCTGTCCGTTATCCATCTTGCAGAGCGGCTGTGAGCTGCTCAGCTTGTGGAATCAGCATCTGCAATGGCCTGCCACCCACTGAGCTTCATATTACTCGCTAATCTCAGCCCCCTTAACCACCAGATAGGGGCAATAATAATAATAATAGTAATAGTAATAACAAGAGCAGCTGTTATTTCTTATGTGCTGAGTTGGGCCAGGCACTGTGCTATGTACTCTATGTGTATTTAATAATTGTTTAAATCTTTCAACATCCCGTTAAAATAGGTGCCATTATTATATCCATTTATACTCAAGGGAATATGTGTGGGCAAGTCGACAACTCTCCCAAGGCCGTGCCTCTAGTATGCTGTAGAGATAGAAGCGGGGTCTGCCCACCGTCCTCACACCGCTGTGAATAAATAGTACATGAGAACTGCTGCTAGAATGCTCTTCAGGGTCCCAGGAAGATAGTAAGCACCGAAAAAAAAAAAGAAGGCAGAGGTGATCTAAGATGGGCAGTCCAGCGTCATTTCAGGTGCCCACCCAGACCTCAGTGGCTCTTCTGTTTCTCTTCTGTCACTCAGTTTGTTCCCACACATGGCAAATGGTTAGTTTCTTAGCCAGCATGCCGTGGCTTTGTCCTTCTCCACGGCGTTTCCTCCCGGTTGGCTTGGGAGAAGAGCCAAACAGGGCTCCGTGCTCCGGGTCCTTTCTCACAAGGGAAACCAGATCATCTTCCAGGGAAGCCATACGTAAGATAAGCAGTATTAAATCATCAACCGTGCCACAAGGAAAGGACACAAACCTAGAACAGACTGCTTTTCTTTAGAGCCCTGCAGACGTCCTTGAGTTGGACTTGAACTCCTACAACAACTGAATCGGGCTACGGGAAAGAAAGATTTCCTCCAGACCTAAGGCTTTACAGCACTGTGATTTCACTCGTTTGATGAACGAATGATTTTTTTAAGGCAAACTTGTAATGGAATTTACTTGAAATAGGATAAATAAATAGAAAGAGCAAATTAGCCTCTGGGTCATCATAATGAAAGTGTGTTGATCTCATCAGGGCTGTGTGATTACAAAAACATTTCATTCAGGAATTGATTAGAATGTACTCACTAAAGGGGGACATTTCTTGGAGTTCAGTGAAGTGGAATAAAGATAGAAGCAGGAGCGTTCAGACTGCTTTCACGGGCAGCACGCGAGGGGCCTCTGCGGCAGCTGGCCCCAGACTCGCATCTCTAGCTCTGGCTTTTCCTTGTGTTCTAAACGTATCTAACCGCCTCTTGACGGCCCCAGCTGGTATCTTACAGGCATGTCGTGCTTAACAGCCCCAGAATGAGCTTCAGTTTCTTCTTCAGAGCTGGTTCTCCGCCGCCTTAAGGGGGTGGGTTCATGTCCTGGCGTCTTTCCCGGCAGCTCTTGGACCTCTGCTGTATCCCCTTTCTTCTGGCCTCTGCTTCTGAACTTAGATGCATTTTTACCTTCTTCCCTTTCTCCCTTTACATCAAGTCGGCCTGCGTCCTCCTGTTTATTGCTCTGTTTCGGGCTTCATCTTGCCTTTATTCCCATTCTGCATTCTCTGAGTGCCTGGTGCCTATCTTATTTAGCAAGTGCCCACTAAATGCCAGTGAGTGAGTTAATGTGAATGAATCCAATTGAAGGTCACCAGGAAGCCAACAATATTTCTCTGACGCATAATAGTACCAGGTCCTTTAAAAAATTTTTTTCAGTTTCTTTTCCAAGGAAACTAACTACAACACACCTCTTAATCTTACAACTAGACAGATGCTTAGTATCTTTTAAAGCAGCAATGTAACTTTTATTCCATATCCTAACGTCTTGTTTTAAAAAACCGTAGCGGATGCAGTGAATAATGCAGCTGGCTTTGGGTTCAGCGGAGTGGATAAGAATGGCAATTTCTGTTGGGATCTGCTTTCTAACCTAAACATCTGGAAAATTGAGGTGAGTCTATTATGCTTTGAAATCAAGCTTCCATAGCGAATAAAGCAAATGGTTTGCTTTGAGTGTGGAATTCCTGGAAGCTGTTGCCCCGAGGGTCCAGAAGAGCTGTCAGGGAACGGCAGGTCAAGCAGCCTCCTGGACATTTTGCATCTTTGACTTTTTCCTCTCATTTTTTGAAAGATACCTACTTTCTTGGCAGTTTTTAATGGCTCAGGGAATAAAGACACAAACATCTGAAAAGGAGTCAGGAAGACCTTTTTTGCTGTTTACATTCCTGTTCTTCCACCTGGAAAGTAGAGATGTCATTTTCTCTTGCTCACATTCTACTGTCTTCAGGTAGGAACAGACTAGAAGCGCCTGTATTTGGATTTCAGTATTGCAAGTGTTCCCTGTGGTCCCTTTGGGAACATTCATAATCCATTTGCTTTTGAGAATTGTCATGGCGCACAGCTTTTAGGCCACAGGGTCAGAGTGGTTTTCCTCTTTTGCTGGCTTTGTTCTTAGACCACAACTCTTGGTATGTCCTCCACATCAGAGGGGTCTCTTTAGAGCCACCTTGCCCTTGGGTCCCCTGGTCTTGTCTGCGCTCAGAGCTGATGGGAACACCAAGCTCAGACTCTTTCCTAAGAGGCACAGTTCTCGACCTACATGAGTCTGTGCGCTGCGGGGGGAGGTGTTCCACCCACCCCAGGACAGGCAGGCTGCCACTGGACACTTAGGCAGATGTGCATCAATGCAAGAAATCTGATGTGGAGCTTGGCCTCTGCCACCAGGTTAGCTGGATGCTTGGCCTGGGGGTGCTGTCCACCTTCTTGACACCCCCGGCTTCTCTTCATCCTCAGTAGACAAGCACCAGCCTCAAGAACCCCATCTGATATTTGAAAAGCAACGGAGACAATCTACAGGCTTCTCTTTTCCATACAGATGACACTAGGGAGCCCAAATATGCTATGACTTTCCTTCCTTTTACCCCGAAAATTCTTCTCTCCCTCAAGAATCTTGGAGCCCTGCTGGGCACCATGGCATGCTCCGGGCTTGTGTCCTTTGCAAGTGGCTCCCCTCAGCTCTTGCTGCCCCCCGACCTCCTCAGCTGTATGCCACAGAGCCCTTTCAGTGGGGACGTGTGTTCAGGGAAAGGGATAAGTTGTTAAGTTCTGTATTTATTATAAAAGAAATCCAGAAGGAGAAAGTTTGCATTTTCAATTGAGTCAATACTGAGCCAGGAGCTAAAGAAAACACACAAGTCTGGTTTAGTTAAGGTGCCTTGAAGCTGTGTCTACAGCATTTTCTTAGCCAGACAAGACATGGATAAATAAAATTCCTTAGGGTTTTGAGATAAAAACCCATAATACAAACTCTTTCTATCTGTCAATCAATCAATCATCTCTCTCCCTGTCTTCTTTCCTTATGAACGTTTGTCATCCCGCCAGTGTGGACCTAAGGTTTTCTTAGGGTTGAAGTGTCGCTTCTTTCCGCCTTCACTAGGAGTTCTGGCTCTTGAACGTTTGCCGCATGCTTGCTGCCACCAGCTGCTGATAAGACTTCTGGGCCAGAGGACCCAGTTGATGGCTTATTTTGGAACCTCTGTTCCTCAGCTGTGGCTTTACCTGGGTTATGGCCCATTGGGAGCTCTTTCTCTCTCTCTTCTGTATTGTGACCCCTCCATACATAAAATTTCTCGCTCTTCTCATTGTAACTGGATGCATTTGAACCTATGCAGCTATTCGTAGGATAGCTAGAGAAGACTGACCTAGTTTATAAGTGGCCATGCGGTGAAGAGGCGACAAATCACATTCAGACTGTCACCACGAAGGCCCTGAAGCCACGTGGCTGGGCTTTCCTGTGGCAGATCCCCTTTCAGAGTAATTAGTTTTGAAATTCATGTGACTTAAACATTTTTTTGTAACCAGGGTGGAAGGAAAACCCACAAAACATTCCTTCAGTTTTTCTATAGGATGAAAATAAATTTTGAGAAGAACAGAGTTTGCAAGCAAAGTAAATTTTATAAACGTCGGAAAATCTTGCTGGCCCTGATTGAACAGTTGATCTGTTCTTACCCGAGTTGTCCTCCTGTTGAAATAGCACATCTAAGCTGCTGCCAGGGAAATTCTGAGGGGGACTTTCCAGTACTTGGGGTATTTTTAAAGCTAATGATAGGTGTTGTTTTCTTCTTTCTAGACTGCCACAAGTTTCAAAATGTACTTAGAAAACTGGAATATTCAGACAGCTACTTGGCTAAAGCGGTAAGAAAAACAAAAGTGACTCCATTTATCACGCACTGGGATGTGTTTAGGGGGAAGTCAGCAGATGAACAGCGATAATCCGCCCGCTTTAATGTGTCATCAGACTCTTTTGTATCAGCATCTATGTCCCGTAAAAAAAGGTCACAAGGTAGCATATTTATCTGAAATGTACGAACACATAACTGCCATTCCTGTGTACCAGGTACTCATTTAATCCTCACATCCATCCCACAAGATGTTGGCAGTTATTAGCCGCATTTTACAGATGAGGAAAGTGAGACACAGAGAGATAATGTCACTTGTCCAAAATCACACAGCTGATGAGTAATAGATATGAGTCCAAACACATGAGGTCTCCAGAGCGAGGCGTCCGAGTACCACACTCCGCTGCTTCTCACTCAGAGGAAAGTCCCTTTGCTCAGAGGTGAGGGAGGGTCAATGCCAGCATCGAATCACTCCAGATCTCTGTGTGTTTCCCTGGCATTCATAGCTTTATGGTACCCCAAATGTTTATGCTTCTTAACTTGCATTTTTGTTGATATATCTCAGTCCTTTTGTTGCCCTGCACATTCACAGGGGTGCAGGGAGAGTATCACAATATTCAGCTGTAGATGACACTGTTTTTGATCTACGGCATTTTTCATAGATCAGCATTCTAGAGTAAAAGAAGAAACAATGTAGAGTAATTCTTCCAACATAATCTCATGCAATGTTGTCTGAAAATTGATCTGAACATGCAGTTTTTGAAAATTTGCCCTTAATATTATCGCTATTAATTTTGCAAATACTTTTAGTATAAACCTCAATTCCTGTATATTGAGTGATCCCAATGTGGCAGGAGTCCCACAGTCTCCACTAGTTTATGTTCTAAGATGACTGAACATACATGTGCATGCATACAACATGAAAAAGGAAATATATAAAAAATCATCTTAGAAAATGAAATATTTTGTTCACATACTAAGATACGGAGGGTAAGAAAAAAATACTTGTGCAAACTACCCCTCCTTTCAAAAACAAACATTATAAACGGAGTGGTAGTCCCATATTTCTCTCCCCAAACCATTCTTTCTTCCTATGAAGATGGAGCCACAATCCTTGGTTTGAGTTTAGATCAGTTACTTTCAACAACCCTCACAGGTCTGGACTAGTGTTACCGTCTGAGTTTCTATTTTATTTTTGATTTGTGCTCTCTTATTTAATAAACCACAGAGTGGCTTCCTCATAGTGCCACTGGTGATTCATAGACTGACTTTGAGAGAGAGTCCCCTGTCACTTTGTTGTAGTGAACAACCAAGAAGTCAAAGATCTCCAGGGTATTTGCTGACAATATCTAGATCCTCAAAGTGCCACTCTTTAAGGCAAATTCATGGACTGAAATCCAGTGGACTCCACGAGGGCTGAAAGGCCGTAGAACTGACTCACCAATTTATGCTGGGCTCGCTGCCGGGGAGGTGAAAAGGGCTGCCGCTTTGATGGCGTAGGAGCCCAGTCAGAAAGGCAAATCAATGCTGACTAAAACAAGCTGTCCATTTCTCATCCATCAGGACCCTCATCTTCATCCCACATCTTCGGTGCTGATGGCACTTATCCATGAGTACGTCCGGGCGATGAGGCCATGCGGGGCATAAGCTTCTGGGAGGCAGGAGCCCTTGCTGGGTGGAGTGGCCACTCCGCCTCCTCCCGGATACAGGGTGACGGCATCCGGATCACCTAGTTCTAGGGAGGCTAAAGATTCATATTCATCTCCCCAAAACATTGAACTGTGAATTGCCTGCCTGATAGTGTTCAATAAAACGGGTGTTCAGGCTGCTTGGATTGCATCGCGAGGGGCTGAAATCACGCTGAAGGGTCTAGGCAGGCACGCCGACAGTGATGGATCAGATCGTTCCCTCGTGGTCCCATCCAAAGCGATGCAGGAGAGGCTAGAAGTTTCCGTATGCTTGACCTGTGACCCGGTTCCCTTCCTGTGTTCGCAGAGTGTGCTATGAGCGGGTGCCACGCTACCCCACGGTGCTAACTTTCGTCCTCTCTGCCTTGTGGCACGGGGTCTACCCCGGATACTATTTCACCTTCCTAACTGGAACGCTTATCACAGTGGCAGCCAGGACGGTAAGCCTCCTGCGGTGGTAGGGCCTCCTCCTTGGTCGTCTGAGGCCCGAGGGCACATTGTTTTCGAGGCTCCCCCAGGGCTCAGGGCAGGGGGCGGGTGGCAGTGATATTTTGAAAAATCCAAACCAAAAGTCTCACCATTAGAGGCTGACTTCAGTATTGCCTGTTGATCATAAAACGGTTGCCCGTTGTATTTGACTATTATTTACAGACGGTATTTGCAAAACAAAGGAATTTTAGGACTACTGTCTAGTACCTTAAGAGATGAAAACAAATTTGATCACTGAAGGCTGTAAACAAACACAGTCTACTAATTACAGATGATGATGATTAATTAACATGGGCTCCATAGGACTTTTTCTTATCCTCCCCTTAATTGTTCATTGCATGATCTGACGCCTAGAAATAATTCACTTCTGAGCCAGTAATAAGTTTCTGAGCCAGTAATGTTGGCACCCCGAGAACCATGCCCTGACACGCTCTCATGACTGAATCAGTCAAGTGAGTTTGCGTGCGATTCTTTGTGAATGTTATAAATCTGGTTCTCCAGGTGTTTTAGGTCACCTTCCGTTTGTCCTGGACTATGCCTACTCTCTTCCATGTGCAGAGAAGGATAATAAAGGAATAAGAAACATGCCTGTCTTCCAAGAGTGAGATGAACATGTACACAAGTAATTATAATTCAAGGTGCTCTGATTGTCAGATAGTTCTGTGTTTGATTTAACTGCGATCTTTGGTAATGACGGCGGCCTGCCTTACTCAGAGGCCAGCAGCTGTTGATGATATCTGTATTTGGATGTGAATTTAGAAGCCCCAGCATAGCTGTTCACTCCCTTTTTGATTCATCTAGTCTGTGAATTTTTTTAGGAGCCTTAGTATGTACCCATCAGTGCTCCAAGTGCTGGGCCAGGCAGGGAGCAAGCCAGGAATTCCTACCCACGGAATTCCTATTCCCAGTTAGATGGACGTTCATTGGGGTGTGTATGCAAAGAAGATGGATAACTGATTGTATTCATGCCGGTTGGAGCACTTTTAAAATGTTGTATGTGTTGTACATAGAAAACGGGAGGCATTTTATTTTCTCCCATTCGTGTACCTACCCGGATTATAACAGAAAACTGAAGGGCACATGGGCTGGAGAAGCTAAAGGCCAGAACTGTTGATCTTTTCATTAGTGGGAAGCCTTTCTTCTGGGTGGCCCAGAAACATTGTTCACAAATGCATGAGGAAGAGGTGAGAGGGGGGCACTGACAGAATTTTCTTCTAAAAGGAGCATGAACTGGGTCTTGCGTCCTGGGAAGTGACCTAATAACATGGCTCACATGCTTCCTGGTTCTCCCCACAACGGATGGGTCTTTGGCCTCCGTTCTGGGGACCCAGGGCTGAGGAGAAGGGCCCTCACCTTTCCAGGCGGCCCCGGGAGCCTATCCTGCTTCGGGGATGACCTGCCATCGAGCCACCACTGTTTCAGCTCTGCTCTGCATTCTTGGGTCTGGAATCGGGTGGCTTTCTGAAGGCAGATCTGGTCACATGTGGCAGGAGACCTATGAATGAGCATTTGCTCTGATCCAGCAATTTCCATTTTGAAGAATTGCCTCCGTTTCCTCATCGGCAAAGTGGGTGTGATAATGCTCACATTATGGGCACGTTGGGAGGGTCAGCAGAGACGACACACGCAGAGCAGCGGGGCAGGCCTGGCGCACAGTCAGCCCCAGCAATGGGAGCTGTTCTTAGTAGTAGCAGTAATGCTGTTGTCCAGAGGAAAGTCCAGGGCGATTTATTTACGAGGGTCTGCATCACAGAACTGCTCACGATAGCAGAGGGCAGGAGTCTGGCCTGTCCATGATTAACCTACAATTATTATGGAGATTAATACCTACGTGGAAACAAAAATCATGATGGATTTTTCTACCTGTTTTTTCATTAACCGATGGCTTTGGAAGTATGAATGTGGACACATATGAATAGAAAAAGGTTTGGAAGGCTATGTGCCAGATTTATCAACAGTGCTTTTCTCTGGGAGATATTAANGGTAAACGTCATTCTTATTTTTCACCCCCTCCCTGCCCTCTGCTTTCCCTGCAGGTAAGGAACCACTGCAGACATTACTTCCTTTCTTCAAAAGCCCTCAAGGCGGCGTACGATGTGGCCACCTGGGCCGCCACGCAGCTGGCTGTGTCTTACACGGTAGCGCCCTTTGTTATGTTGGCAGTCGAGCCAACCATCAGTTTATACAAGTAAGTGCCCATCATTTGGTAAACTTTCTCCGTGTTTGACTTAGGAGCTGGGAGCTGAATCCATCCGTAAGTGTGGTCAGTGTGAAAGCGGCCATAGAAAGCCCTCGCGCGGTAACAACCTCCAGGAGCGGTGCTGGCAGGCAGCCCCCCAGCCATGCCGAGCGACTAAGGGGTGTGGGTGGTGGTGGATTTTGAAGGGGTGTGTCTCGGTCGCGGACTCCGAGGGTGAATTTGCTGCCTCCGTCCCTTCTGCCTGGAGCTAGGCTCTGAGAGAGAGTGTGGGGCATGCGGAGCAGGCAGACGTGCCTGAGCCAGCCGGTGGACGGGGGAGTCTGCGGGGGGCTCAGCGCTGGGAGGGCAGAGCTGGGGGGATGGCACACCTGGGGGAGGGGAGTTTGTGGAATTCCGGGTGGTGATGGTTCTGCCAGAGACAAGAGGCTTTTGGGGAAAGGGTGTCAGGCCTTGGCATTCAAACACCAGTGCTCCAGGGAACTGTCAACCTACTCTTACTTGATTTTACTGTTTCTGATGTTGAAGTAGTCGTATTTCTCCACTGTTGCAAACTGCTTGTGTGACCCACAGCAAGTTAGTGGCTTCCTTCCTCTGTGTTTTCTCAACTACAAAATGAGGCTTAGAGTCCCCCTCAAAGCCCCATCGTGAGGGTTGAACAAGGCAAACGCGCAGAGGCCCCGGCTCCATCCCGTATGCAGCCTGCCCTGTGCGTGTTGCTTACTTGAACTTAGTGGTTTGCACGGGCTTTTGTAGAGTGACCTGGCAGCACAGCCAGGGTCAGCTGAGCAGCTTAGAAGTAGCAGTGCACGTGTCCTAGTCGTAGTCCAGGGATCCCCAGGAGTGAGTCAGGAAGCTGACTCATCACGGCAGGCATCAGTGTCTCTACATAGGAGGGCTTTTCCCACATTATCAGAAAAGCAGGTGGAGGGAACTGCGCACAGCACACCGTGCTTAGGAGCTAGCCCTCTGCTTACAGAGGCTCTTAGGTTTTGAGTTGTGTGCTTCTAACATGATCTCCCCTGTCCCCACTAGAAGGAAAAGAAGGGACACGAACTCCACAGTCCCAGCAGGTTTATTGCCAACCCTGAGAGGGCCCCTCTGTCCTGGCCAGCAGAACAAAGAAGGCATCTCTTACAGGCTAAGAGGCTCTTTATGGCCAGGGTTTTTGGCGGGCTTGTGAGGAGAGGGGTCAGGGGAAAGGTGGGCTTGGGTCTGCTGACGTGTCCTCCGGAGGGTGCTTGCAGCCTCAGGAAGATGAAGCCTGGGTCTCCCAGAGGTGGTGGGTGGGCTTATTCTATCGCCCACCATAAACTTTATTTTAAGCATGTGATATTGCCAGATACAGGATTTTTTTCAGGAATGTATGTATCATAGTCTAGCAGAAATGCCTGTATTCAACGTAAAACCATTTAATGCCGACAGTGTGCAGGGCGCAGGAGGAAGCAGGGTCACGTGCGAGGGTGGTGGGTGAGGTGATGCACTGCGGGTTGTGCTGCAGATGCAGCAAACAGCCCAGGGAAGCCCCCTCATGAAGGGAGTCAACTCTGCACTGACAACCCAGAGGCCTGAGTGTGGGCAGCGCACAGGACCGAGGTGGGGAGTGGTATCAGTGCCTGGCCATCAGGAGGACATGGAGGCTTAGAGAGGGTGGGTACCTTAACAAAACTCACACAGCAAGACCTGAGCTTCAGACTCAAGGGTCCTTTAATAGGCGCACTAGTCACTAGATTTTCTTTAGGGGAAGCCGCTGTGGAAGACTGTTTCTGCTTGAGGGTCACGTTTAGTGGTTTGTTTACGGTGTCATGTGCTCCACCAACTAAAGTATGCGGATTCCCACCCTTAGGCAGGGTTCTAGGGGAGGAGATCAGCTCTCAATCCAGATCACTCTCAAGTAGATTTCCGTTTCTTCTCAAAAATAGCATTCACTGTGGAGCCCGGCTTTGCCCACCAGAAGTCTATACATGATGGAAATGCCACCCAGTGCATTAGCCACTGGCACATGGGGCCTTTGGGCATTTGAAAGGTAGCTAACATGACTGAGAAACGATTCCAATTTTAATTAATTTGAATTTTAACAGCCACATGTTGCCAGTGGCTATTATAGACTGCATCTCAAAAAAGTTTTCAGAATCTCTAAAGAGAATCACTGAGTCCATAAAAGATTAAAATTGAGTCATATTTAGTGGCCGTGCGTCTGCTTGCATTTAGATCTCTTCTGCACTTGGGGCAAATTTCCGTGAATATCAGTTGTATGCAAATCCGCTTTTCATATCCTTCTTGCTTAATATTTAAATTTCAGATGGCTTCATTCTTATGTCTAGTCAGTTTCCAATCTATAGTGATTTCAAATCTCAGCTTAAACTTTGTGTTAATTTTTCTTAAGTTGAAAGTGAGCCCCAGGTGAACACTGAGATGTGTGATGCGAGAAGCTGCGTGCTTGGGCTGCTCCCCTAAGCGCGGGCTGGGTGGCTCACGCAGCAGGCGCCACCACTCCCAGTGTGGAGGCTGAGACGCCCAAGGGCGAGGAGCCTGCAGGTTGGGATCCTGGCTTGCAGAAGGCCGCCTTCTCACAGCAGAGAAAGAAGAGAGAGACTAGGGCAGGCAGACAAGGAGAGAGGTGAGCGCGAGAGAGGAGACAGGACAGGGACGGGGGAGAGCCGAGACGGGGAGGGAGAAAGACAGCGGGCCTGGTGAGAGGGGGAAGGGAGGGCAAAGACAGGGCAGAACGGGAGAGAGCGCAGAGAGAGACAAGACAGAAAAAGAGGAAAGACAGGGACAGATAGAGAAGACACACTGAGCCAGAGCCAGGGCCAGAGGAAGCGGACTGGTGAAGGCAAACAGGTGGGGGGGAGAGTAGCAAGGCAGTGGAGGAAAGACAGATGAGTGAGGGCAGATGGAGGGAGACAGGAGAGAGGAGACGAGGCAGCAAGGAGGAGAGGAAAGGTCAGCGGGGAAAGGGGACAAGGCAGAGACAGAGGGCGGACAGAAGAGACACCCAGAGAAGCTCAAAGAGAGATGAGTGAAGAAGGATGAGAGAGAGACCGAGAGAGAGAGACAGAGAGAGAGGAGAGAGGGAGAGAGAGACAGAGAGACAAAGAGACACAGAGACAGAGAGAGAGACAGAGAGAGAAACAGAGAGAGACAGAGAGACAGAGAGAGAGAGAGACAGAAAGAGAAACAGAGATAGAGAGACAGAGAGACAGAGAGAGACAGAGAGAGAAAGAGACAGAAAGACAGAGAGAGAGAGGAGAGGGAGAGACATAGAGACAAAGAGACAGAGACAGAGAGACAGACAGACAGAGAGACAGAGACAGAGAAAGAGACAAAGAGACAGAGACAAAGAGAGAGAGACAAAGAGACACAGAGAGAGAGACAGACAGAGAAACAGAGAGACAGAGAGAGAGAGAGAGGAGAAAGACGGGACAGAGGGAGAGAGAAGACAGAAAAGAGAGAAAGGAGAAACCAATGGAGACAGAGACACAGAGAGAGAGTGACAACAGAGAGGAGAGGAGGGTGATGGAGGCTGGAAGTGGAGGTGAGGCGCAGGAGAGACCAGAGGGAGGGGCGACGGGGGACGGGGAGGGGGAGCGAGGGGAGAGGGAGGGCAGGACCCGGAGAGCCCCTGCCCTGGGTTCCCCTTTCCCTGTTACGGGGGCACCAGTCCCCTCACAGGGCCCGCCCTTGAGGACCCGTCTAAACCAGACCACCCCCCTCAGGCCGCTTCTCCAAATGCCATCACACTGGGGCCAGGGCTTCAGCACAGGGACCGGGGAGGACACAGACATTTAGTCCACAGCAAACCTTTCTATGAAGGCATTTTGAAAAGCAAAGCAAATCTTTATCAATTTGTCTTTAACTAGAAACCTTTCTTAAATTTTCTTATGTTCAACATAATATTTGCGTAGAGAACTCCGTGAGAACAGGAACTATGCCTTATCACCTGGGTATCTGGATTACCTATTCTGTCCTCCCATACTCGATGCTGTTGAGTTTTTCCATTATAAAAAGATGAAGTATTCCTGAAGACTGGAGAGAAATAGGGAATGTCAGGATAGGTCACTAAACTTCACCAGGGGATTCAATTTATTTTTCTCCGACTTCCAAAAATTTGGCTTTAATCTAACATAATTGCTCCAGTGTAGATTTGGCCACATGTGAAAGATTAAGGCAAAATGCAAGAAAGTGTATTTTAGGCAAGCAGACTTTGAAAGCTGGGGTTCCCTCTGGCTGAGGTGTGCCCGTGAGAACCAGGCTGACACTCATAGCCCAGCCTGTTTTAGTGTCACAGCTCTTTTCCACTCTCAGCGATGTCCTGATCTAGACGATGGACAGGTGCTGCCTGCGGCGCTCACCCGCCGCTGGGTAAACCGCCTTTCCTTGTACACTCGTCTTGTTTCCCATCCCCCTGAGTGGGGGAATGGGGGATGTGCCTTTTGTAGATCCGGGTTAGTGCAGTGCATGCAGTAAACACATAGTGAAACAATAAGTGAGGGAAGATGATGTTTGCGCCTGTTACAGCTTTTGACAACTCCATAGACGTTTCCAGGGAAATTTAGGGAATATGTGAGTTATCTGATTCTAATGTGGCTGACCTTGTGATAACAGGAGTTGAGGAATGGCACATTAATCAATTGTGGGTTTTCTCTCCCTTTTAACATTATTTTCCTTCGATCTTCAAAAAGATGGAGAATGTGTAAGTTCAACTTTCCCAAATAGATGTAGAACAGTTGTAGAAGTGCAAGCTCTTTCTGATTGCCTGCATTTACTGATATGCCCAAATTTATTGTTTACATTATGCCCCATGTGCTAAATACCCAGCTTATGCAATGGAAGTCCACAAGCCTCAAAAGCAAAACTTGTTTCTTATTAGTTTGGATGAAAGTTATTTTCAGCATTAGGGTAGGTTTTGAAAACCTAGATTCTTCTGGCTGCTGTATACACAAGAAGAACCCCTTACACTCGAGCAGAACACAGTGGCTCATGTGTCGTGTTTAGGGAGCAGAGTATAGGGTTTTAATTTGGTCCCATTACACACTTTGAATATTGAGGGTTTCTGGCTGCAGTGGGGTTAATTCTGTCGGTCTGTTTCTTGTGTCAGTGGGACAGTGTTGTGTGTCTGCTTATGGTCCGGCCAGTTTGCCCTGCCCAGTTCCATGGTTTGGGTCCCTCCCTGGCCTGCTCACCCTCCAGAGGAGTGGCCTGTGGTGTGGGTCAAGGCGACCCTCAGTGGGGACACAGCCCCTCCGTCCGCAGCAGCGCCGCCAGTCACCAGACCGCAGAGGATGTAGTCGCATTCCTGGGACGTTCCCCCTGTGCATCTCTGTTTGAAATGTAACCTGTGTGTTCATTCCTAGGTCCATGTACTTTTATTTACACATTGTAAGTCTCCTGATAGTGCTGTTTCTGCCAGTCAAGCCGCAAGCTCCTCGGCAGAGGCGGCCTCGGACCCTGAACTCTGTCAATAAGGAGAAAGCAGACTGACACCTCCCGCAAGCTGAAAGAGTGAAAGCGTCGTAAGAAGAGGTCAGCGGCTCTAGGTGCCCCGGAGACTCGGAGGTGATGTTTACATGCTTCTTTTCATGTGCAGGGAGTATTTTATAAAGCCTTTTGTACCATTAAACCTGCCACGTCCAGTCACTTCGATATTCATAGACGCTCCAGTGGCGTGGAGATGTGCCGAGGCGCGGGAGCTGCCAGGGAGCCCACTGTGCGCGGCCGGGTCCTGCTCTCTGGTGATTGACACCCTGAAATCTGGGTGTTGGGACCTGACACCTGCCCCAGAAGTTAGAAGAAGGTGCCTGAGGAGAGGACACGTCTTCCAGAACACCCCCCCCCATGTGGTCGTCGCTCAGGAAGCCCCAGACCCTGTGGCTTGTGACTCGACTGTCCCAAACACAGTTAACGGCCCTCTGACGACCCTGGGGGAGGCCGGCGGCCGGGACCTGGGAGCTGGAGGAGCCGTCGGACGCTCTCGAGCAGACAGCAGTCAGTCAGGTCCCGAGGCAGGCACACCTTTCCCCCAGGGGGTAACTCTCCCCTTTGTGTTTCTGAGCTGAGCTGAGACAAGTCAGGAGTCTCCTGCACATGTGTGCTGGGAGCCCGGGAGGGCACCACTGCTGTCCACGGACTGTCCACTCACGTGTCTCATCTGCTTGTCCGGGAATGGCCCTGCGAAAACACCCAAACGTTCACACCGAAGGCAGTGCAGAATGTTTTTTAAAGGAACGATTTCCCAGAGAAGTTTAAAGTCAGGCAGAGGCATGGCTGAGAACAGCAGACGTTTCGCTCTCCCCTCGGTCGCAGAGGTGTCTGTGCTCACAGCCATGAGGCGCACGTGGCTGACTTTCACATTCCCAGGTTCAAGGCCCGATTAAATCTTTTAGTTGAATCATCATTTTGAAAAGCAGGACTTGAAGGACACCTTCTGTCCTAAGAGTGTACCATGGCTCTAGCTGGAGGACGTCTATGTGGGAGAAAGAAACATGTTATTAAAAGTTGTGGAAAATAATAATAATGATGATAATAGATCATGTGTTAATGATGTCCCCCTAGATGCCTTGGGAGGAGAGAATTTGTTTAGATCGGATGGCTGACAATTGGTTTCTTACTGAGTGAGTGAATTCTGTGTTTCTGTGTAAAAAGGACCTGTGTCTGAGCAGAATGATTGCCTTTGGTTTGGAGCCTGGCATTCTGGAGCCTGTGTGTATTTGCGTGTGTGTGTTTTAAGAAATGTGCATAAACTTTAAGGTTTTAGTTGTTTAACATTGGAGCATTTTAACAGGTTCAGTTTTACCTACATGCCAGGCACTTAGGTGGTTCTGGTTTTTGGTTTGATTTCCCATCTTCATCCCCGACTTTGCAGGTAGGATTAAACCCCTTTGACAGATGAGGAAACAGAACCTGGGAGAAGGTTGCTGACAGTCCGTACGGTCACAGAGTTAGTGGTGGAGCTGAGACTGGAATCCAGGGCAGTACCCAGGATGCTGTGACCGGGGGTCTGTCCCTGAGGTGCCCTGCTGGTTCTTCTCTGGGGACGATGAAATGGGAAGTGACTGTCCCTTAAAAAGCTAATGTGGTCCTGGTGCTGGGGAACAGTACCAGGGCCTGAGCTCTGGTCCTCTGGGGAGACCAGGTAACCCTGGGACAACCGGCTTTGCTGTCCCAGGAGGAATATTAGATAGCAGGTAAGGCAGGTGGGTGCCTGAAACCCACCAGGGTCTGTCTCCTACAGGAATGTGTTGGGTGCAAGACTAAGAAAAAACACATCTCGCACACCAGCAAAAATGGCACCGATCACCATGGGCGCGGAGTGGACGGGACAGCCTGCACTCCTGTGAAATCTCGGAACTTGCAGTATGTCTGGGTCCCACTGTGCTTCGGTACGTTCACTTCTGAGAGAAGAGCTTTGGAAGCGAGAGGAGAGGCGATCCCTGGGGTGATCGGCCATCCTGCTTTGCTGGGGACTTGGCCCCAGGCAGATGGGACCACTGATCCCCCAGGGACCACCCAGAACCGATTGCTCCTTGTGGGATGGAGTCCAGGTCAGGCTTCCAGGTCTGAACTCAGACAGGCTCACGTCAGGCCCTTGGCGTGTCTTCCCATGAGGCGCAGGCAGTGCAGAAAGGACAGCGTATTGAAGACAGATCGGTGCCTTTCCCCCAAGAACCGCTCACCCATCTAGGACCGAAGTGCAAACATAAGGTTGGGGCTGTTGCTCCTGCCTCAGAGACCCAAGTTGTCCTAGACTCATGTACATTTAATTAGTATATATTGGATCAGTGAGCTTTCAGTTTGAAAGACATACATTTTATGGCTTTGTTTTTGAAGAAAGTCAAATCTAAAATATTCTGTTTTAGTTGGTTTAGTTTTTCTTTTCTCTCTAGTTTTGCTTTGTTCTTTAACTTTTCAAAGTTAACTTGGTTTTTTTTTAAGATCTTTAAATTTTCCTTATAGGAAATTAAGGAATGGGGAGCAAAAAGCAATTAATCATTGGGTCTGATGTTTTGGCAGTTTAAGAGAGAAAAAGGTAGAAACTGGGATATTGGGAGGAACAGAGGAGTTGGTAGGTGGTCCCCAGACTGGGGGTGGGGGCGCTGTGCCGTCCATTCCAGGCAGGCTCTGGGCAGCCAGCAGACAGGTGGTTCTCCCAGACAGCCCTTCTCCACCCTGGCTGCACATTAGAAAGACAAAGGAAGTTAAAAAGAAGCCAATCAATGTCCAGTGCCTGGACGGGACCACATCTTATTTCTCTTCTTGTCTCCAGCACTTGACACAGTGCCTGGCACATAATGAAGATGTGTTTGTTGAATGAATGAGAGATTGGATGAATTCATTTAATGCGTCATTGCACTTGACAGTTTGATGGAGTTGCTTTTACACTGGAAAACATCTTTTCTGATTTTCAGAATTCATTTTTGAAATAAAGGCTTGTGTTTTCAGGGGATTCTGAAAGTACATTATGTGAAATAACCACTCAGGCTCTCAGTTCACAGAGCCTGAACCACCTGGTCCATCCATCTATTCATTCCTGCATTCACTTATTTATCGGATGTTGTCATGTCTAGTGCTGGCCTGGCACTCCTCTAGGCGCAGCAGGTAAGCGATGCTCTGAAGATCCTCTCTGCCCTGGAAGAGCTCACAGTGTGAGCAGAAAGACGCCATCCCGAGCGTGTGCTGGGGGACGGCCCCGGGGACCCCAGCGTTCAGGATCGGAGTCAAACCTGCTGTCCTCCTGTGAGTCCAGGGCAGCCTTGTTCACGGTGCTGGTCACCCAGTCATGGCTCCCAAGACTCCCGTCCCGGACTCATGGCCAGTCCTTCAGGGGCTCATCTTGCCCTGGTCCTGACATGGGAAGTTGACCTTGGAACATATCAGCCCAGGTAATGCAGAGTCACTGCTCAGAGAAGCAGGCTGTACTTTCAGGGGGTTGCCCACAGAAGTAGAGGGGTGACTGGGCCCCTCCGGAAGGATGCAGTGGTTTCCGTGCTCAGTAAAATGACTTCATGAGGCTTAGCAGGAAAGGTACTGGCAGAGAAGGCCCCTCCCACGTGAGCATCGTCTGACTGTCTGAACTCAGGTGAGGCCGCCTCCCACACACTCTGACGGCACAATCAGCTACCCTCCCAGCACACCCCGTGTGGACCACGGGCCCCGGCCGTTACCCCCCAGCACACCCCGTGTGGACCACGGGCCCCGGCCGTTACCCCCCAGCACACTCTGTGTGGACCACGGGCCCCAGCCGTTACGCCCCAACACACCCCGTGTGGACCACGGGCCCCAGCGGTTACCCCCAGCACACCCCGTGTGGACCACGGGCCCCAGTGGTTACCCCCAGCACACCCCGTGTGGACCACGGGCCCCAGCGGTTACCCCCAGCACACCCCGTGTGGACCACGGGCCCCAGTGGTTACCCCCAGCACACCCCGTGTGGACCACGGGCCCCAGTGGTTACCCCCAGCACACCCCGTGTGGACCATGAGCCCCAGTGGTTACCCCCCAGCACCCCCCGTGTGGACCGCAGGCCCCAGCGATTCCTGACAGCCCCCCTCCCAGCACACCCCGTGTGGTTCTGTGGACTTGGCGTCAGGATCCTCTTTTTGCAGATGTGAGGCCAGAGCTCAGAGACTTTCAGTGACTTGCCCAAGGTCACCCAGCGAGTCAGTGCAGGTGATGCGGCTTGAATCCTGGTCTGGCTGACTCTGAACTCCATCCCACCCACCACTGCAAAAGCACTTTTGTTTTCAGAGACACAGGAAAGCTGAAAGTAACTCTGCGCAGGACCTGGCTCAGTGGCTTCCTGCTGCAGGCTGGGGGCCCTGCCACCAGGGGGCTTAACCCCGTGGGGGTGGGAAGTGGATTTGCCTTTGAAAAGAACATGTTGGCTGTGCTTCTTCCGTCTTCTTTGGGGGCAGTGGGTTCATTTCTTGAAGGGCGGTGGTCCCCTCGCGTCTTGGGTTAGGGGCAGCGGGAAGCAGGTGGGGGGCGCAAGCTGAATCACTTCATTCTGTTCAGGGGGTTATGTTGGAGGTCCTGTGAGCACTTCTGCTCTTAAAATACCTTTAGTTGAACATGCTCCTTCACGCATTTTGAAACACGCTGAGGTTGGCCTAGATTTCCAGTCCTTGATGTCTGCATGGGGAGCAGCTTGCTGTGCTGGAGATGTAAACAGAAACACTGTGGTGATGGGGGGGCTAGGCAAGCCCTGCATGAGAAGGCAGAGGTTTGGGGCCCGAGGAGGACGGGGGTCCAGGGGTGGACCGGTCGGGCGCCTTTAAGAACAAGAAGGGGTGGAGTTGCTGGGCTGTCAGGAGTGGTCGTCTCTTCCCTCTGTAGCCAGAGATGCCTTCCCTCCTACTGGGCAGCCAGGCTGGTCCCAGTTAGGGCTGGCATCCGGAGGAAAGAGAGCAGCCAGTGATGCAGAAGGCTCTGGGGATTGTGCACAAATGCCCAGGAGTGACCTGAGCCTCCTGTGAGGACCTCCAGTTGCTGGTCAGAGTGCAGGGCTGGGCGGTAGTGCGTGTCTTTTCCGTCATTTGAATCTCCAAGCATGGGGCTGTCTCATGAAACGAGAGACCCTGGCCGTGTGGTGGTGACAGGTGCTGTCGCAGGTATTTGGTTCCCAGAGGCCTCCAGGTCCTGCCTCTTTCTGGCTCCCTTGGTCTGGGCTTTCGCCAGGGAATCGGTCCTCTTACTCCCCACGCCCCCAGAACTCTGACGTGCAGCCAGGTTTGGGAGCTACTGGTTTAATCCCATGTTTTTTCGAGCATGGAGGATACCGAGTTGGGGATTCAGTGGCTTGCCTCGCTGAAGCTCCTCTGAGCAGAGCTGCGGGTAGAAGCGAAGTCTCTCCGCTCAGCAGGGCATATGCCCCGTAGATGCATATGGTCCCATCCTTCCAACAGACCCTGGCAGAGCGCACATGGCCGGGCCAAGGGGCCAAGGGGAGCCCTTGGAGTGCCCATGACCGTCCTCGGAGGCGCTCGCCCCTCTCAGGCCTGGGGATGAGAGCGCGTGGCCGTGTGCCTGCCGATCTGGGCACCTGCACCCCGGACACCCGCTGGCCTCTGCTTGCTGAGGCCTAATGTTGCCTGCTGGCTACCTCAGTTTTTCCAGAACTGCTGATCCAACCGGTGGGGGCGGCAGGGAATCCCTTTCTGGACGGTCGGTGCCGGTCTGGACCCACACAGCCCCGAGGCTCACGGCCCCTTTGTTCTCAGACAAAGGAAATCCACACGGCACAGGCACTTTGACATTAAAATGTACACGGCTAAGCAGCTGCCACAGTGGCCCATTCTTTCCGGGCCTTCTGTCTATTGTCTTGTGTTTAAACGGCAAAGTGACCTTTCAGCATTTCCAGCTGCTGTCCCGGGTGGTCACTGTCCAGGGTGGTCACTCACTGTCCCAGGTGGTCACTGACTGTCCCCGGGTGGTCACCATCCCGGGTGGTCACTGTCCCCTGTGGTCACTCACTGTCCCCGGTGGTCACCATCCCAGGTGGTCACTGTCCCCGGT